ACATATTTTATATGCTTAAAACTTAATTATTCCAGAGTAAGAAGTAATCTTCTGGAATCTTTGGATTTTTATTGGAATAGAGCATAGTGGTATCTAAAGATTGAAACAAAGGTATAACAACGTTTAAATAAAACACTTTAACGATTTAAAACGCACTATTAATTAGTTAAACTTATTTGAAGATTATTTTATCTATGACCCAACGTTTCGAATGCTTTGCAGCAGCCATATTTACCAAATACCAACTTCGACGGAACAGAGGACACAAGCTTAGCAGGTTTTTTACTTTGACGTCAGAGATACTCTACATCTTTTATCTCCCCGTGATCAAAGCTGTTGCAAAGCAACTGAAACCTCGGGCCATAGCTAAAATAAGTTAAACTAATACACATCGCGTTTTCAACCGTTAAAGTGTTTTATTTAAATGCGCTACTCGCGTAAACTACAAGCAGTGTATGACAACGTTTTGATCGCGTCATGCACAGTGGTGGCCAGCGACGCAAACAGCGTGCTGTACAAAAATATTAATCAATCAAATAAGTGAGGGTGCCCGCACCATGACGGTCATGGGTACATATTTTGCCTGTTGTATCTTTCTATCTTATGTTGATAACTTTACATATTTAATGTATTGCCATGTGCGTGTACATATGGATATATTAAACTAGCTGTGCCGCTGTGTAAAATAGTTGTTTTGGGCATCATATCATTTATTTTTGCAAACAAACAAGCTTTATAAATTAAAGCTGTTACCCACGACTCCCTCCGTGTCCCTTCGTTCTAGCGTGTTAATCTTAAAAAATAGATTTATAATTTCGCGGACATTATTTTAGGTTATATCATACGTATTTTTTTAACGTTGAAACGATTTTGGAATGCACGCAAAGGAAACAATCGAAAATAACATTGCCGGTTCTTTCCATTATTTCTTCGCTCCTGTTGTTCGCATAGCCTGATAAGAATTTTTCACTACAAACCAGCAGTTTCTGAGATTAGCACGTTCAAACAAACACACTCTTTAGCTTCACAATATAATAGTTAAGTTAGTTATAATAGATTAATAGTAGGATGATAGCATTTTAATAATAAGTAGCAATTAAAAGTAAGTAAGCTTCTGATCAAAGGAGAGGAGGCCACCATAATCCCTAGCCAGGAAACCAGTAAAGACATCCTTAGAAAGAAAATCGGCTGAATATTATCGTTACAGGTACATATTAATTCCATAACATTAGATGTTAGTAAATTCCAGAGTAAGTTAATAACTGTGCGGGACACTTATACAAACTATTCAGAAACTCAAATAACTTGCTGACTGGATCTGAAAGCGCAGTGTGAGGTTTAACGCTGACTTGACTATACAAGAACCTACATAACGTGAATACAAGACACAGAGTAGATTTGATCTTGTTTGTCTAGTGCCTAGTCACTCGAAGACAGATCATGAGCTGCCAAACTTTGAATCAGGAGCGTGGAAATTGTGGTTATTATATTATATCCTAACTTTCCAGTTCTTTCTTCAGAAGTACGTTAAGCGGATTGGGTTTAAGATTTTAAAACTATATCCATTTAAATACTGTCTATAGTTTACGCGAATAGTACACATTTAAATAAAACACTTTAACGGTTTAAAACGCGATATATTCGACTGTGATTGTCTCCCCGTCACCACGGCTGCTACAAAGCATCCGAAACGTCGGGCCGAAGTTAAAAATCATTTTCAAATAAGTTTAACTAATATATTGCGTTTTAAACTACTAAAAAATATATCCATTTAACCAATCATTCTACTCGTGTAGCTCATGGGCCTCCTTTACTCAGAGAGTATTGAATGCTATTCGTGTGCAGTACAATAATGTTTTCATTGTTGTTATTGGGCTTGCCAAGGTACGGTAGTGCGTCGGGCATGTTTGCGGATGCATGCGCGGATGGTTTCTACGCCATCATCCACAAGCGTGTAGCTTCCCTCGTGTATCGAGTTCGGCAAAGCACCAATGACATTCTGGGGGCATTGTGTGAAAAGTACACAGTGGTGATAAAATGATGGAGTGACGTTCATGTTCCCCCTTAGCGCCTTAGCACTTACTGTTTTGTATTTAATGTTATCTCCTTAATTCTAGTGATCAACGCACACTAAATTACGATTTAAGTTAAATTAAGTTATGGTCTGATAAATATATTATTATTATTAACTTCACTTATAATATAACATATCTATTTCTTTATTTGACTTCATCGCATTGAAACGTCGTCAGAATACAATTACGTTTTATTTCGTAGCAATTAGAAACGAATATTTGTCTTAACTTTTTTTTATAATACCGGAGGACCGAGAAGCATGAGAAACCTATGCGTGACGTGGTGACTCCATCCAGTCATATGACATCCTAACAAGATGCACTGTGCACCTATTTTGGGTTTGGATATGCAGAATTCCGCTGATTGAAACCGAAATGTCATTAAACTGCTCGACATTTTCATCTGTGGACAGTGGTTCGTGACCCGGACCTAATTTTGATATTCATATCATCTATCACTATCCATATTTCCAGTTGAAAAAAATTAGAAACATATTGGACCAGGTAGGAATCGAACCTACGTCCTGTTAAATTAGCCATTACAAATTGCTACCATTACACTTACGAGCCCGTGTAATGTACTACAATTTTTTACCAAGGGAAAAAGAGGAAATCATTTTGGATCAAAAGCAATTTTGTATCCTGAGCTTCTCCGGCTGTGTTGAGTTTAATAACAAATAACATAGTAATACAGCCTACTTTGATTTGGGAAAATTCCACTTTTTGTGACTCACGTTAACTTAAGTATTTCAAATAAATGGGACCTAGCAACAGCAACTGAATAAATAACACTAATCAGTTTAGGTAAACCATTTATGAATTAAAAACCGCTGCACAAGATTTAATGAAAATTTGTATGTTTCCTTATTAAAGATATCTTACAGCCTGTGTTAAAAAAATATTGTGAATTTTTAATCCACTCCTTTTTACAAGCTCTACTTAATTTTCTTGCGTTCTTATATTTATATATATTTTCTATTTCTAAAATTTGCTAACAACATATCTTGTGCCCCCTAAAGTATCTCGACACACTCGTTGGTTTAATGGTAGTATATGCGTCACAGATTCGATCCCCAACAGGTCCAACATATTTTTAATAAATACATATATTTTTCGAAACATTTTGTATTTCATCTCGATATCTGAATATTACGTCCGAATCACGACCATCCACACCTATAAAGCCTTGAAGTTTAATCGATTTTCACTTTCAGTCTGTGGATTTCCGAATATTCAAAACCAAAAAAAATTGTTCGATGGCGTATCTTGTCAAAATGTATGTGCTCAGGAAAATGATGTGCCTTTCCTTCTCTGTTATATTTTTTTTTCATAACTATCAAACTCAAACGTTTTGTATCCTAAAATAGGAAAACTTTGCTGTCATATCCAAGTGTTATCTTCTCGTCTTGTTCTTTAAAAACTATAAAGGCATAATACCAAACACACGACCTTCAACATTCAATACAAGGAACTATAATACTTCTGATTATGTTGTCTTATTAACTCGCTGCGTAGTGTAATAAGAATAATTAAAAGGTTTTTATGTAACGGTTAATTAAAATTACAAGGTTTGCGTCTCTATCTCTATCACTATCAAGCAAATGTTTGCTATCAGTTATACAAGTACATTCACGTTTTCTGCATATTTTTTTAATGTGGGGATTATTCGTCTTATTTGTCTGTCTATGGAGATGCAAGCTAAGGAGATGAGTATTGAGGTAAAAAGCACAAAAAGTTAACATATACAAAATATATTTTAGAACTACTTACATACATACTTATAACTATCTCTGTATTGCTATAAAATTGCTGCGTTCCACGATAGATTTTTTTATAATTATAACTTTAATTATTATTTCCAAGTAAGCATTTACGTAGCGTAGTTAGTACCAATATGGTATGTGATAAATAGCAATTACTTCTACAAAGCATCCGAAACGTCGGGCCGAAGTTAAAAGTAAGTTTAACTAATATATCGCGTATCGCTATAGTTTACGCAAATGGTAAACATTATTTGAAACTTATTTGAAAATTGATTTTTAACTTAAAAACCGTTAAATAATTTATCGCGTTTTAAACCTTTAAAATGTTTTATTTCAAAAATATAACGCGTTTTAAACCCTTAAAGTATTTAATTTAAATGTGTAGTACTCGCGTAAACTATAGACAGTATTTATATAAGTTTCAATAAAAAAAAACTTCTTGACAGTCACTCTTCGTGTTTTAGCAAATAGTCTTTCCGACGTTTTAGTAGAATAAATAAAACATTAATTAAGTAGATTTTTAGTGAAAGTCGGCGGGAACGGATTCGAAAACCGGAAGTCACAGATTGCATAACGATCATGCGAAACTTGAGGTCATTTCTAGTTTGTTTGATAACTTATAAGTTGTTTTATAATATTACGAAATCTATAGCTGAAGAACTTAATTATTATCATCCTCTCTTATCTTGAGACTAGTAGATATCCATAGTTATAAATGCAAGGTTATTTAACTAACTTTTTATATGTGCTCCAAGAATTGTAACTTTTCGTTTTATTTATCATCTTAATCTTAAATAATAATAAATGTATTTATAAACAGAGCACGTGTTAAAAAACTACGTGCTTAAAAATACTACTTCATTCACTTCGTGACCCTTGACAATTTCCGGTCAGTACCTACGTTATTTTAGATTAAAATGACGTGTTAATGACATGACTCTGTGGTAAATCCGCGGTAACGTCATTACTGCAAGTACCCAATCAATTAATTGTGATTTTAACCGCACGGAAATCGCCCTGTCATCTCACAGACACACCTGGCTTCGGAAACTCGTCACTGTGTTCACACAGCTTCATTCACAAACACTCGAAAGTCGGTGAAACGGAATGATAAACAAACGCTAGCGGAATCGTGCTATTCGAAAGTTAGAGATTTACTCACCCAAAAACTTATATCCGTTGCACTCCTGATTGAATACAAGCTTATAAATTAGTCATTACAGGCTCACATCATCTAACAGTAATCATTAGATGCAAGCAATTATCGCCTTAATATCAAACAGTTAGGCGCTGAAGTCACGTGTACCAATTTTCGGGAATCCACACTTCACTTGCACAAACTGAAGGCTTCTATGGCCAAATTGTACACTTTCACTGTGGTTCTGTATCGATTTATGTTAAATCGTTAAAACCGATTGTTTCAAACGAGCGTCAGCGTCACACTGGCTGCGCGAGAGCCTTCCCCCCACTTAGATCATGACCAACTCGTTTTACTTATTGAATTCACGCGATTTTATACCCTATTACGGTGGTAATATGGTTAAGTATTGCCGAAGTGTTGTCATGAACTATTATTTTGAAGCTTGTCTATCGATTGATTAAAACGCGATTCGATTTTTATATCCGTGCATAATTGGCACGTTCAGGCTGACGTCTTTGTTACTTCTTATTTAGTACCACTACTTCAAAGGCGTTCAGACGGTTTTCGTCAGATTGTAGATTTTCATCTTTTGCAGGATGGTAAAACAGATTCGAAAGTGTTTATTTTTATTACATTTACTTTGTATATTACTTAGTTATAGGAACATATTTTTCAGTAAGTAGAGTGAAATCTCGACATATTTTTACTTTTTTATGATAGAGGAGGACAGACAAACATATGGATTACTTGATGGCAGGTGAAATATGGGTATTAAATCGCTTGCATTCATTGCTACACACCAACGTGACCGTCAATTTGTACCATTTTTTAATATTAGTGCAATTTATGTTAAACTTTTTAATAATATAACTGTCAGTTACGCTGTAAATGACTCGGTCTTGCCGAATTCCAAATGCGAAAGAACTCTGCCTTAGAGGAAATACCTTTTATCTTATATAAAAAATATCATTGTAATCAACAATAAAATTTATGTCAACCACTTGAAAAGTGTATAAGAAAAAGGTTTTTACATTAAATATTTCTTCAAAATTCCATAGCACTAAGTTATTCTTACCTGAAACGCGAAACAGCTCCTGTGAAATAAAAAAAGCAAAGTTTATCGCGACAAATTTTGATATTAAGTTTTCTCCATAAGTCAATACTCATAAGCAACTAATTGAATTATATGCAATTTTTACGCGATATAACAACATTTTAGAGGTTTAAATCGTAGGTTACGTAAAAACATATCGTTATAAATAAAACAACAACAAGTCATGACAGTAAATATTAGAAGCTAAACCAACATTTTTGAAACGAATTTAATTACAACTCATTATCAAAATATAAACTTAATTTGTTTGTGCACAAAAATCTTATACTCGCGTAAACAAAAGATAATAGTTGGTATGCAAGAACAAATAATAATACGTATAATAGAAATCTTTTAAAAGGTTCGATGATTAAAAACTGTTTAACTAATGTTTGAGTATTAATGTTTAAATTTCGAGATTAAAATCCAATTTACAATTGAACTTTGCGCTGGCGAATGAAAGTTTAAACAGACTTAGTCTATTAGCTTTTAATCAACCCTACGTGACTCCAGCGAAACTTCAGCCTGTACCGACGGAGGAGAGTAATTAGAGTCGTTAACGCTTCAGCTTTAAAGCGGTCTACTGGCTTCGTTTGATAACAACGTAGGTGCATATATTTAGCTCTTTAGCCACATCGCTCTAATATAACACATTTTATGACTTGACTTATTTATATCGTGTATAGAAAATTCTTAATAGAATTCTAACACAAATTTAATTGCGCATTTCTACTGTCCTCCTTATTGAAAAACATGTTTTTGTTATTAGGCCACTCCGTCTCTAGCAGCTTCATATATTTGAAAGATTTAATATTTTTTACATGTTGACGCATGATGTCATTATATAAATTAAGTATATATTTAGATCGAAAAAAATTACGAGTTAAAATATATATTTTATGGATACGTTAGCTCAATTGGTTAGAGCAGCAGCACGGAACGCTGTGGATGCCGTTTCAAGCCCCACCCTCGTCATATTTTTTTCAATCTTCACTGGTGTTTTTTATAGACAAGTTGATCAAACTTGTGCGCCCTGCCCGACCGAAACAATTTATTGTTTCGGTCGGGCGTCCTCAAAAAAACCTCTTGCTCTTAACACAAAGATAGGCAACACGTATTTAGCTATAGAGGCGGTCAAAATGCATACAAATTTAAAATAAACCACATCTTCTTTAAATACTGTCTGTGGTTTACGCGAGTAGTACACATTTAAACAAAACCCTTTAACTGTACAAAACGCGATATATATTAGTTAAATTTAGTTGAAAATTATTTTTAACTTTGGCCCGACGTTTCGAACGGGAGGACGGCTTCAAATTATCAAACACCTGGGATCCCAATAAACAGCATACCGGCAAACGCGAAGACACCGTCACTCAATCGGACGCGGCCAGTTTCGCCAAAAACAACTTCTACGGGACAGATGGCAATTTTTACTTTGACGTCAGAGACTTCCACCATCTTTAGTCTCCCCGTGACCACGGCTGCTGCAAAGCATCCGAAACGTCGGGCCGAAGTCAAAAAATAATTTTCAAATAAGTTTAACTATTTATTATATCGTCTAACGTTTTACACCGTTAAAGTGTTTTATTTAAACACTTCTTCTTTACTGAGATGAATGAAAAGTTTCATTGGAGATATAAATTAAAAGGATGCTTTTAAATAAGAGCGTGACGCAAAAGTACGACGTGCATTGCATTTCATTTCCACAACCGAATCCAAGGGAGCGGAAAATTGTGGTTACGTACCTGGTAACAAAGGTAAATTAATTTCTGGGCGCAAATCAATCTATAGAACCGAACGGAAGTGTTTCATTGTTGCACAATAAATGTTACACAATATCTGTAGAGTTTAATTGCTTTGAATTAAATTAAAGTAGTTTACGCGAGTATTACACATTTAAATAAAACAATTTAACAGTTTAAAACGCGATATATTCTATTTAAACTTGTTTGAAAAATATTTTTCGGATGCTTTGCAGCAGCTGTGGTCACGGGGAGGCTAAGAACTTTGATTGAAAAAAATTTACAACGAGAGCAGGACTTAAACCGGCATCCATAGCGTTATTAAAAAGATTATAGACAAAAATAAATAAAACTTTTTCAGCACCCTTCCAAAGTGAAAAGTTTACCCTTTTAGAATATTAGATTACGTAAACAGTTCTTCCGGCGAATTTTCAGTCAGACAATTCTAAGACTTATGAAGACAAATTTGTAAAAATAAAGTTTTGTATTAAATTAAATCCAACGTTTGAATTATATTGTTAAAAAATATTCAGGTCATTTTCCAAACTTATAATTCCTCGTAAGTTTAACGAGAGGTCAAATTGGACGGCCTCGTTGGTGTAATGGTAATAATTTAAGGGTATAACGAATAATCAACTTCATCATCAAAGTCTTGGGTTCCATCCCCGCTGGGTCCAACATATTTCTAATCAATATATAGTTTGTCTAAAACATATTGCACTTAGTCTAGAAATCTGGATATTAAATGGATGGTAGAATTATCTAAATTCCGTCCAGATCGCGAGCCGCCGTCCATAGATGAAAATGTCGTGAAGTTTAATCGCGTTTCGGTTTCAGACTGTGATTTCCGTATATACAAAGCCAAAAAAGGTCGATAGCGCATCTTGTTGAGGAGTTATATGGCTGCGTTATTTCACCTTCCTTGAAATGAACCCTATACTTGTCTCTATTATAAAATAACACACACGAATTACCTTTCTATCTCTTTGTCTTTATATTTCAACTTTAATACACACGTGAATGACTCATGATAAGATTTCGTGTACATTAAATATTATTAGTCATAAATGTTTAACATTATGCGGTATTGCTTTCAGCTTTACGCCCTTTTATATTGTAATATAAAAACTTAGTTACGTAACCGTGAAATTATAATTCTCAGGCGATAAAACCGCCATGTGACACACGTCTCTTGTCATAAATGTAAAGTAGACTAATAAAATTAACCTCTGCACGAGCTTTTCCGATTCGCAAATGTAAGCCTTCAAAGCTCTTTTCAGGTTTAGACCAAAATACGATATGTTTGTGTATAGGAATTGGAACTTTGTTTGTTTTTAATTCTATTTTGAAATGCGGATCTTCGATAGAGATGCAGCTTTTATAATTTTAACTAAAAAAATACATTAAAAGTAAAACATTTCAAATCAAATCATTTAATCCACACAGACACATTAAATAAAAGATAAAAATTGGGAAGAAAAAAAGTAGGGAACTTTGGGGACAACGACGCCAAACAGCAGGGAAGCAAACTTTAGACGCCTGCGGTTCTCAATATTTTAAAAGAAACGGAGTAACGTGCGTGCGTGGTGGAATATTCCCACAGTAGCGCGAACACGCGTTTTGAATAGCTTCGTACCTTCTGAATAGCTTTCCTACCACTTCCCAGCGATCTGGGGCCATACACAGTATTAGCATATGTAAACTTTGAGAGCACTAAAGACTCACGTAGTCTTACCCTTAGATCAGTACTTAGATGATGCCTTATACGATAAAGAAGCTTTAAGCGATAAAAACAATTTGCAGTCGTGGTGTTCATTTGCTTTTCAAACCTAAGGTGCTCGTCAAAATTTATCCCCAGATTACGAGCTACCTTTACCAGAACACCATGTCTTTCCACCTTTTTTATGAGCTGTGGGGTGCCAATTACCATATACTTGGCGTTTAGTTCGAGTGCATTGCTTTTTAACCACATAGAAATACGTTGTAGATCATCATTAAGTTTAGAGATTGATTCCTGGGTCTGACTAGGCTCAAAGGATATATAAATTTGTATATCATCCGCATACATATGATAGTCGCGATATTTAATCCTACTCGCAATATCGGCCCTGTAAATTACAAAAAGAAGAGACAGTTCCTTCAGTTCCAGAGTTTTCAGAAATCTACTTGGGTTGTCGACATCTCTAAGATTAAAAAAACAATGACATGAACAGGACTCAAACCCATATCGAGAATGAAGCGTGCTCTTGATATTACCAATTAGTCTATGAAGTGTAAAGAATAAAAGTTAAAACACATTACCTCACAAATATATGGTCACGATAAAATGAAAAAATAAATTGTTATAATTTTTATCAACTTACAGATATATCATTTGCTATGTGGGTCAGAGGGTTGATACAATTCTGTATCTATTTATCACAGATTAATTTTATTTGGTTTATGGTTTTCCCGGGATTCGAACCCAGGTCTCTTATATGCTTAAAACAACACACAAAACAACACCTTTGACCATTGGACCATAGAAGCAGTCTACCTGGGGGACATATTAGGTACAAATACAAAGGACAAAAGGTGAATCTTGTATTCCTTTAGTAGAACTTGTGGGGGTATCTGTGGTAATTTTAGAAAAAAAAAACTGAAAACGACGTTGAATATGTATAAAGGGAAGGAACGAAATAATGTTCATTGCCATTAAGGCATTTCCGGTTCATATTATAATTTTTAAGGTCAAAAAATTCTGATCCGATGGAAAGTATTTAATGTACGCAAACGGAATTCGATGAGGCTCTAAAGCTAAATGGATTTCAGTTTGATCTCAAACAAAGAGGCATCCATAGTACGGAAATCCGAGATCAAATTGGAATTTTATTTTCAAGTCTTTTCCGAATTCATCATCCCCAGTGTGGTTTAGTTTCCAAAGAGTTTCAACCCACAGCTAATATGTATAGTTAGTTTATAGATGAAATATAAAAATGATTTATTGTTTAAATAATACATTATTAACAGTTTAAAACGCCAAGTGTATTAGTAAACTTATTTACAATTTATTTTAATTACGGCCAGACGTTTTAAACCGTTAAAAGTGTAGTTACGTTTTAAGAGACCGGAAAACCTCAAAAACATTATTTTTATCTTTCTCCCAAACTTGAACAGGTCAAGCCTTGTTTTAAGTTATTATTATTCTTTTCATTTCTTTTGAAAACTTCAATATTTTTTTACATGCTATTGCACATGAAGGCACTATATAATTTAAATTGGTAAAGCAACAGCACGGAACGCTGACGATGCCGGTTCAAGTCCTGACCGAGGCGATTTTTTTTCGATTTTTAAATTTTCATTTCTGTCAATAAACATTTAAAATTTAAATAAAACACTCTAACGGTTTAAAACGTGATATATATTAGTTAAACTTATTTTAAAATTATTTTTACCGTGTTCTATTTCAACAAATTTTTAATTTACGTATTTCTCTTTCACTGAAAGAGTATAATCAATTCACCATCTAAAGAATACTGTTAAAATGTCTACAGCATTGTAGTAATTTAATTAACTGCCTAATTGTAAGAAAACTTTCCGTTAAATATATAAAATAAAACCGTTTTACTGTTCCTAAGTGTAAAGTATATTTTGTTATACATTATAAATAAGCTCGTAAAGTCAGAACTTTATGATTGTGAAGTATTAAATATGTACGCCAAGGGTTATAAGGAACATTTTTATATGTTTCAGTTACATACAATTTGAAACTTGTTTAAATAATATTTATATATCGAAGAAACAATTAACAAAGGAACAGTTACAATAACGATTCGTATTAAGAACTTGTTATATGAATCTTAAGTCAAAAACTTTAGATTTTAACGAAAAATTTCCCGAGAGTTACATTAACAGAATTCTTAAGAATCTTTGGAGCTAAAGTTGAAAGCAAATTTCAATGAATTTATGGTTCACAGCAGAGGACGAACGTGCTCATCCTTATTTCATACTAATGACAAAATGTTGAATATTAAAACTCTAATTACCCGTTTCCACTTTTCTTCATCTTTTCGATTACAATGAATCGAAATATTATTTTTTTTCATTTGACTTTAAAATTAAAAAATATTAATGTACGGTATATTAGTACGTCGTTGATTTAAGCAATCAAATACTTACGACCATATATTCCGTTTGCTGCCGTAATTACAGGTACTGAATTTTTTAATAACAATGCTTTGATGTTCGATATCAACAATTAAAATATCTATGTAAGATTTAGAATTTTCAAAAAATACTCCTTTGCATCGTTATTAGTACAAGAAGGCATTTGAAATAAATACAAAGACGGTTTAACAATACAAAATTTGTATTCCTAGTCAGTGCTATGAAATCCTTGAGCAATTTTAATTAAATTACTTACTATTTATAATTACCGAATGCAACACGACACATCTTTTTCATTTACTTGCAATATAATAACAACATTTCGTATGGGATCTTCGATAGAGGAAAAGAAAATTTGATCGTCGCACGTAAGACTGAAATAAAACATATTTTAATAGAATTCGGATTTAATGGTCAAAATATTTTAACATTAATCTTAACGTATAAACAGATCAGTTTCTTATAAACTCGTAATTACACAAACATCATTAAACTAGATTACACCTAAATGTAATATAAATACTTTAAGTTTATTTACATTTACAGATTTACAATGTGTTTCACTTCAATTAGCTTGGAACTAGCGTGGACTGTTTTTATACAGCTCTATATTTCAATTTATTGATAAGTCGAGAGCCATTTCACAATTAAGGAAGCCAAACAAAAGAGAGCCCCAGTACCTTAACAAAATGAGATCATGCCAATTCTTATATAATTCACATTGATTTATCACACATACCATTGAACAAGCAAGTCCTTACGTAATAAGAATATGTACACGTTATACATTAAAAAAATATATGTAACGAATAAATTTTCAATAAACGTAAGGACTTAACTCTACAGCTATAACGAATAAGTAGGTTTTATGTAACATAAGTTACATTATTCCCCCCCCCCCCTTTTTTTTTTTTTTTTTTTTTTTCCCCCCCCCCCCCCCTTTTTTTTTTCCCCCCCCCTTTTTTTTTTTTTTTTTTTTTCTTTTTCAATTTTTTTCGATTTTTAAATTATATAGTGCCTTCATGTGCAATAACATGTGAAAAATATTAATGTTTTCATAAGTTACATTATTTTTTAAAACGTTCTTAGTCATAGATTATCTGTTATAATAAACATTTAGAAATTTTATAGATAAACCTGAGCAGTCACTAATTCATTTTAAATTTTAATTATATTTACACCTTCCGTCCGTGAATGAAAGCTGAAACAAGAAAGTAATTATTCATTCTATAAGGCAAAAATAAACAAAATTTTATAGCGTTTTTTTTTTATAATTAATCTCGATCTTTAACTTATGATCCATAATAATCCAAGAATTATTAATATATGGCGTATATAATATGTTATTATATATTTTTTCAATAAAATTATGACTCACTCGTTAATCGGCATGGAATGCCAATTCACACGTAGAAATTCTACTCTTTACATTTACAAGAGCTGAAAGTTGAATGAATGATTTAATATGACAGTAATTCGACATAGAAGAAATTGTAGCGCACAAGCGTACACAGAAGGAAAGCAATCCCCTGAGATGCCATGACAGCTTGACGAGTAACTGAATCATAAATTTATACCCATAAAGGTTGTTCAAAAGTGTCTTCTTCGAACTCGGATTTCCTTTTATGATATAGGAGGACATGCATGGGATTGCCTTTGGATATTCGGGATACAACAGACTGGAATCGAAACGCGATTAACTTCACGGCTTTTTCATCCGCAGACGGCGTACGTCGTACGTACGTACGTCACCCGGACGGATATTCGATATTCCTACCACCCATTTAAAATCGGGATTTCCAGACGAAGTCCAATATAATACAGAAAATTTATATATTTATCAGAAACATATCGGACCCGGTGGGGATCGAACCCACGAGTCGATGATTAGCTATAGTACCATTCTACCAAGGAGCCTATTAAAATAGTAACGATTATAGTGTCAATCTAGGATTGGGTCGATCAGGTAGAATTAACCAGGCAAAGATGATGACGAGAATAGCTTTGATGATAGCTGTGCTGCTGGTCATTACCAGCAGCACAGCTATCATCAATGTCACCATTGTGAATCATGGTAGTTCCTTACCATCGTAATAAGTCCGGTGCGGACAGCGCGGGCAGCTAGCAAGCGAAGCCTGTTTCTGCAACGGGTGTCGCGCGACCCGATACGAATGCGGCCATACGACCACTGCATTTCCTCTTGATCCTCTGTGCTCCTCGATACCTGTAGAGGCGCATACTTCACGGACATTATTTTACAACTAACAACATATGCACTGTGGACAAACCTGCAACACAATTCAAGAGATATGCCTTTTGACTCAGAAGAAAAAGGGAATTCCCAGCAAATTCTAATATCTGCGTTGTTAGTGTTCAAGTTTAAAGAATTATTGTGATGCTATAATCTAACAACAGCTTTAACAAGTTGTCAAATACAAACTCGGGTTTGACTTAAAATAAAAATTAAAAAAAAATTTCGCACATTCTATGTTTTCAAAATGAAATGTCATTAAAGAATATTTCATTATGCGCTTTCAAATCACTCACAACAAAGTTAGAAACAGTTATCATTTTTCACACGTTGCACATGATAACATTATTTAAATACATTAAAATCTATTAATAATTCAATACAGTAGGTCAATTTGTTAAAGGATAGCTGTGGGTACTCATTCAAGTCCCGTTCAAGAATCTTGGAACCTTAGCCACCGTTGGGGAGAGGATCAAACAATCTTTGATAAATTGATTGAAAAAGAGAAAAGGCTCGTAATACTAGGATAGAGGAATGTTGAGGAAACTAGTTACTCACAATCGACACGAAATCCAATGATACCCTTGAGAGATAATTGGGATCTAAGAATCTGATATCGCCGTGAAAATAACAAGGCTGACTGAATTTATGTTGGGGATTTTTTATATCCAGCCTTTGATATGGAGATAAAATGTATCTGACGTTGTCAGGGTCCGCTTTTACGTTTCGTGTGAGGCTAGTTGTGCCCGAGCGAGTCGCTAGATTTAGGTTTTTATTAGGAATGCGAAACTTTCGCTTTATTGCCTTTTTATTGCCGAGCGTAATGAATATCAAATAAGATTTATATAAAAAGGGCTCATTTATATAGAAATATAATTGACAGGATCGTTGGTCTAATCGTAGCAGTAAAAAAGACGTGAAGTACAATCGCATTTCGGATTCAATATGTACATTTCCGAATAACCAAAGCCAAAATAGGTCAACGATCTTGTTATGATTTTCTATGGCTGAGTTAATATCATACGTGTCTCTGTCCCTTTATCATAAAAAAAATGATAAAGAAAGGGTAGCCAAACAAAGAAAACTTCTGGAATTAAATTTGACTGCACCTCAACGGTCTTCTAGACTAGTGACTATACTATCTTTTAACGTTATGTTTGCTTAGTATATTTTAACACGGTGACTATTTTAAGATTGGAAGGGGATTTTCATCTCTTGTAAAAAAAAATATCCGAAATAGTTTTTTTTAAATCCAACTTATATATAATACATATTATAACCGAAATACATTTTTCCTGAATCGCTGATCGTACGAAACGCGGAAATTGTTGTTTCACGCACCATTAACGTTTCTCCCATTAGGGGCGTTTTCGGGAAAATACATTTTATAATAAACTCAAAAAGTACTGGACTTTTTGAGTTTATCCGTTTCATAAAAAAATAAAATTTTTTCTTTACAATTGTACTTCATTAAAAATAAAACATTTTATTAAATTTTTTTATATATTCTAAATCAAATTTTTCCTTTAATCAAATTCTTTTACCTGAAGGCGGATCCTTCCCCCTTTTTTTTAACCCCCCCCCCAAATTTTTTTTATTTTTTTTTTTTTTTTTTTTTTTTCCCCCCCCCCCCCCCCCCTTTTTTTTTTTTTTTTTTTTTTTCCCCCCCCCCTTTTTTTTTTTTTTTTTTTAAAAATTTTTTTTTTTTTTTTTTTTTTTTTTTTTTTTTTTTTTTTTTTTTTTTTTTTTTTTTTTTTTTTTTTTGGGTTTTTTTTTTTTTTTTTTTTTATATTTCCCCCCCGTGGTTTTTTTTTTTTTTTTTTTTTTTTTTTGGGGGGGGGGTTGTTTTTTTTTTTTTTTTTTTTTTTTTTTTTTTTTTTTTTTTTTTTTTTTTTGGATTATTACAAGGAAACAAAACAATAAAAAAAAATGTGTTCAAGATCTTATATTTTTATATCGGCCAAACTAAATGCTTATGTATTTAAACAATAAGTTTATAGTTATGTATGATATTTTATTTAACTGGATTACAATGTATTGGTTTTACTTGGGTTAAACAAATAAAATATATTTAACAAAAAACAAATAAATTTGAGGGTATCTTTAAAAGATTATATAAAATAAAAATCGATTTTAGATTGAAAAAAAAATCGACACGGGCAAAAATGAACCGGTATCGATAGCTTATTGTGCTCTAAGCAATGAGTTTATTCGGTAGCTCAATTGGTTAGAGCACGGAACGCTATGAATTCCGATTGAAGTCCTGCCGGTGTCATATTATTTTTTGTACTAAAATCGATATTTAATTTATATAATGCTATCATGTGCAACAACAGATTCCAAACTTTGAAACATTACTTTTATTGTTAAGTTATATTTGTTTATATAGGATAATTTACTCGTAATAGATAAACTATTGAATAATGATAGCAAGAGCCTAATAAAAATACGCAAGATCATTTCAAATAATAATTACGTCAACGAGTAAAAACCTGATCGGGATCTGCTACCAGACTGCGAGATGCAATCTGGGGGTGACTCGGGGAGGGGCCGTTTCCGCCGAAAGCAGCTGTCGCGCCATCTGCACAAGATGGCGGTGCGGAAGTACGAACGGAACCTGTTGAAAATACTATCGTATAAAATATTATCAATTACATAGACAAGAGAAACCCGGTGTTACACCCGGATTTCAAAATTCACGTATTGGGGTACAAAATCCAATAATTTTTGCTAGCGAAAGTGAATTCAGCCACATTATACCATTTAGTAATAAGAAAACATTAAAATACACTTTGAACTAATTTAACATGATAATTGACTCAGTGATTCATAAAATGCAATGCAATCTCGACCTTAGGTATTGAGGTTGTTTTTCCAGCGAAAGAAAAAGTCGAACCAAGCGCTACTAGTGGTTTATCAATCCGTGACCCATCCAAATACGTTTTTCACTAAATCAAAGTCTCTAACATGATAGGAGAGTTCTTCAAAATTATTATCTAATCTTATTATATTAATTCCTAATATAAGATTAGACCTCTAGTTAAAAGTTAAGTACAAAATTAGCTCTTAAAAATATTTCATAATATAAATGAAATATATTACAATCTTCTATTACTAGACAATTTTTTTCAAGGCGAAATAGTAGATAAGTCAGTAGTTAACGTCTTTACTTATGTTTCATCAAAATGGCTTTTAACATTGTGCAGCGAGAATTTTAAAACAACATAAATTTTTAGTTTAATATCTAACAATAATTAAACCGTGTAGACGAAGTTAAAGACTTAGGCGTTTTATTTGATAATAAACTTAATTTTAATCTACATATCGAAAAATTATGTTTAAAGGCGCGTAAATCGCTCGGGTTTATTATACGACAGACTTCCAACCTGTCCACCATTCAGGGTCTGCTCTGCTTATATTATGCATATGTGCGAAGTACCATAGAATATAGTTCCATAGTTTGGAGCCCCCATGAATCAAAATATATAATTATGCTCGAAAGGGTTCAGCGAAAATTTGCTCGTTTACTATATAAACGTTTATATGGATATTATCCTACTTATGCTTATCCCTCAGGTTTTGTCTTAGGTATGGTTGGCATGACAACACTAGAACAAAGAAGAAATATGTCAAAAATGTGGCACTACTTCCTTCTTTTGAATGGCAGGATCGATAATCCCAGAGTGTTGGAGACATGTGGTCTTTGGGCGTCAGAGCGCACTATAAGCTTACGCAACCGAAAGGTGTTGGCGGAGGAGCGGCGACGCACGCAGTTGGCTTACATGGCTCCAACACAAAGTACTATTCGTTTGTTGAATAATTTCCTAGCAGTAACTAGCGCACATGATATATTTAATGTAAATCCAGGGTCTTTCAAATCTAGATGCTTATATTTCTTAGATAAGATTCCTAGCTAATTTTCCCATACTGCATGTTTTGGCTCTTGCTGTAAATGCTTTATGTATAAATGAATAAATAAATAAATAAATAAATAAATAAATCTATCGCGAGATCTATCTGTTTCTTTATTGTATTTATATATTAATATAAATAATAAATTAATCAAATAGGTAACTTTCAAATGAATATATTGCATAACTTACTTTGCATTCATCCAGTAATAAATGATGGGGTTGACCATAGCGTTCGCCATTGCTAGCCAGTAGAAACCGAGGTATACGTGTTGTATATACTTCATGTACAGCACGGATGGGTAGAAGTGTGTGTAAATGAAATAGCTGTGGTACGGCAGCCAGCAGAGGCCGAAGATTACTATGACCAGGATAAACATTTTTACGACCTGCGGAAGATTAGTTCGTGATTAGGTTTGGCTTAAAATGCTTAAGATCATATGTGGATAATTATCCACATATGATCTTTAATTAAAGAACTGTATTGTGGGGCGTAATGGGGAATTTTTTGATACATAAGTCATAGGGCATATATGCATTACTTGGATCGTTTTCGAGATGATTCGAGAGATAGGTATTTCCTGCTACTGCAGATAAAATATGTCCAAAACTACTTACAGGCTGCTAAATCGTAAAGTTTTTAATAAAGGATTATATACCATTGTACAGTCATTTGAGAAACACAGACGCTGTCCACAACTCTGCAACTGCACCTTATTAAATGTTTTTGTTGTTAACAGAGGCTTTTTTAAATAACTTAAGAAGTATTTTGAATAGGTAACCAAGCTAAGATGTAGGAGAACAAATGTAAGGGTGATTTCAAAGTTAATTGACTTAAGTTGAAAGATTTAAAGTTGAATGGACTGTGAAGAAAAAATTAATCCCTTCAAACTTAAAATATAGCTTTTTCGGGTAAAATCGTTCACCCAGCAAGTTCTTTAATCAAATGTAAGAGAAACAAGTCTGTCTACTTTCAATCTATAAATAAATAGATATAATTAACAATTGGCGTCAAAATTTACACAGCGGAGTATGTTTAAGAACGGGTTGTTAAGAAATATATTGTTATTACAACATTTATTTTTCCTTCAGTGACATCTTTCGTCGCTATTGAAATTACGATAGCCTTATCTATAAAATTATAATATTAAACCTCTTCAACAATACCCAATATGACTTTGCTAAAGTTAGTCTCCAAATTACGATTGACTATTGGATTCAACAAAATCTGTATCTCTGGGGAAATTACGAATTGTGATCAATTGCGTACCTTAGGCGCCTGAATATTAACCAAGATTTGCATTAATTTACGAGATCTTATCCATCTTAGTCAAGCCTTAGACACAAGCATGAGAATATTAATTTTAGCTCTTAGAGATGGGTTAATAATAACGTTGATCAAACCCATTGGCTTTGATCGTTAGTTTATAGTTAACCGTAAAATGATATTTACAATTTTCATCTCATCTGGCTTAACTTATCAGACTGCCAGCATACTTTGCAAAGCTTAATTAAAAAAAAACCTTTTTAACGGGTTTACATTTGTAGTCTCGTTTCTCCGTGCCCACGGTAGCTACAAAGAATTTGAAACGTTAGGTCGTTGCAAAAATAAATTATAAATACTTCTACTAATACATTTTGCGTTTTAAACCAATGAAAAGTATACCAATGTGAGTTTATATAAATTTACTGCGCAATTTTGTAAGACTAAACGTTTAATCAATTCAAATTTTCCATCTGTACATGGTGGTTTGAGAGATGGACGGTATATGCAGACTTCAAGACGACGTCCAACACATTAAAAAAAATGTAAATTAATTATAATAGTTTTAGGCCCAGTGGTGATCGAACCTCCGACTTGTTGATTATTAGCCTTACATTGCTACCATTAGACCAACAGAACTGTTGAAAAGTCGCGTCTAGGTTAAGGCAAATTTTATGTAAATAGCTGAAAACGGTTTAGGTCCCGTTACCACATTCAACCAGATATTGCTTTGTAAGCAAATATACGCAACGAAATTTCGTTTACAGACCGATCTTTAAATAAACGAAAAAGGTTTTTTGAATATACATTTTACAAATAGGTACAACGAAGTAATGTCTGTACATATAGCGGTTCATCATATTAACTACGAATCGACATTCCAAATGTGTTTTAAACATGATTTTTTACAAAGCTTGCGGGCGGATATAAATAGACTTTCGCAGCGCTAGCGTCCACAGCGTTTCGTTCTGTTGCTCTAACTCGGTACACGGTACCTGACATTGTAGCCCAATCGACAGTACGGAACGCTGAAGATGCCGGTTCAAGTCCTGCCTGAGTCTTAAATTTGATCAATTTATAATCGATTTTAAGTTATTTAAGATGTACAATTGTTAACATATCCAAGCATCGTTATATTATCTTGTATTTTTACCTATATATTTATTATTTACCTTTCGTTTCGATCGTATTGAATCCAACTGCCTCTGCGTGAGTTCCCCTATAGATCTGGAACCCCAAAGCACCTTCCCCATCGCCGAATAAAAAAACGTCATTCCCAACATAGGGACTGCATATGTTACTACAAAAAATAGAACTTGATATCTGTGGCAGAGGAAAAACAGGAGTGATTAGCATAATAGATACAATTAGAAATGCAATTATTGTAATGTTTTTATCAATATCAAAACAGAGACAGTCTAAGTTTATAGTGGAAACTTTTATCAATTAAAAAAAAATACATTGTAATTTACGGGAGTTGTACACATTTGAATATAATACTTTTAACGGTTTGATACAAAAAGAAGACAAATACTTAACTAATAACTTATTTACGCCCCAGCTTATCCCCCCATAACCACGTCTAATGCAAAGCATCCGAAACTTCGGGACTTCGTTAAAATACATTGTAAATAACTTAACGTATACATTTCGATTCCTAATGCACTACTTTTCAAATAATGAATATATCGCGTTTTAAACCGTTAAAGTGTTTTATTTAAATGTGTACTACTCGCGTAAACTATAGACAGTATTTAAACAAAAATTATAGCAATTTTTCTATTAATTTACAAAAGCGAATAGCTCTCACACTATTATATACAATTAACATATTATGTGTATAACAGTGTGTGCAATACTAAATTTTTAAAAATAAAAATACCATCAATAAAATTTATCTTTTAACTACTTTGAAAATGACAAAGCCTACAATTAAGCCTAAATACCACAAAAGTGAAAAATAGAACTCACATAAAATCCATATAGGATACATCTGGCAACCCATCAGGCCACAACAAGAGACACGCAGTCCTTAATGTTCCTTTTGATCTGTTCATAAAATGAGATACTGAAATTACTATGTAATTCTAGAATCTAGACTAAAGAATCATATTTATGACATTTAAACTCTTTGTAATAAAGAATCTAAGACTTGTACAATTAGATAATGAATGTATACTTTTTCCTTCACTTTAAAGCCAAGCCAAGCTGTTTCTAAAGCCAGCTTCTTAAGGTAGATCGAAGTCTATTGCAACCGATTCGGCTTTGATTAGAAACAAACGTTTCGTTGGAAACTGAATAATATAATATCAAACGATATTCTTCATTCAGTGCTTTTTTTATTAGACATTAAAGATCTACAGTAATATCTTATTTAACATAACAATTAAGGAGTCACTGCGCGTCGTATCAAAGCGACTTATTTTGATATTCGACCTGAATCACGAAATTCATTCAATAAATAATGACGTCTTTTATTCGACACTCATATTTATGAGTTTTATTAGGTTTTTACGAACACGTACGTGTATTTTGTTAATTCAAATACATTTGATTATCTATAAAGCTGAATCATTTAGCTCTTAATTATATGACCTATACTGCAATTTAAAGCTGAAGAGTTTCTTTGTTTGAATGTGTTAATCTCAGGAACTGCTGGTCCGTATTGAAAAACTCTTTTTGTGTTAGTTTGAGCATTTATCGAGAAAGTTAGTGATATAAATCTCGTGCTGCGACTTATACAAACGAAGAATCAGCGGGAAATGTGGTGAAAATGAAAAAATTTTATCTTTGCCGGTTTCCGTTGGTTGCTGCAAAAATATTCAAATTCTCAAAAAATATGTATAAAAGATTGATTCCTCTTTAAAGAATAGAAAAAAATGTCCCGATAATATATGTTTATCTTTTTAAATTAACTTGCAAGAACTACGGGACGAGATCGTCGTGAGTAACAGTTGACATTTTTAAAGTCTGCAAAAACAAATTATGAGCCCTAAAATCTACTCTACACACAAGTTAACAAGTAGTATAGATTTGTGGTTACATAACCGTTCGTAATTTTTTTCATGACAAACCATTACTTAGATAAAAGTCCAACACACGAAAGTTTCTGCCCCATATGTTTCCGTTTTGTTTACGGAACCCTAAAAGTATAACAGCTGGGCTCACCTATACTCCTTAGTCGTGGAATACAATAAGCAAGGTATTGCCAGCAGCATCCCGCTCAACCAGATGCCAGCAATCATGATGAGTGAGCAGGTTTTCGACATTCTCGGCCGCATCGGTCGAACTATCGCTTGGTACCTGTTGGGTATTCACTATTTGAAAAGTGTTGAAGTCTGCAATACATAACGCTAAATCTAAAAACCGCCGAACCGAAATATATTTTTTACTCATCTACTGCCTAAAGTTAACACGAGTTGTATACAAATAATAAAACCATTTTTACGGTTTTAAATACAAAGTATATTACTTAAAATATATTTAACACCAACCTGACGTTTCAACCATGATCACGGGGGAATCACGTCCTATCTTCCACACTTAAAAGTGTTTTAGTAAGGTATTATCTTTTGTAAGGTATCCCTATATCTCTAAGGAGTCTTTATACCGCTAAGTATATATGCGTAAGTAAGCGGTGTCACAATTTTTTCTTTATTTTTGTCGTCTTATTATATATATTTAACCAGCAATGACACGAAATTGATATTCAAACAGTCCTAAGCCGTGTGCAATAACAAAAAAAACATTAAATTAAAACAAAGATAAAAACATCATCATTATAATCAACAGACAACTATCATTATGTTTAGGTATGAATTTTAACGAAAAAAGTTTTTAAGCAAGTAAACAATTAAAAAAGGGTTGTTATCTAGACATTACATTGTAATCCGTTGTAACTTTTTGACCTAACTATTGCTGATGATAACTATCACCGATAGCTTAAGAACAGTAATCCGCTGATGAAGAGGACCAACAAAGGAATTAGTGCCATGAAAATTGTGTATAAAAGAATCATTCATCTTTTATTTCACAAATATAATTTAAAAAATAAGTCTTTGTTACCGATATAAAAACAATATTCAGAGTAGTACCTAAAACCGCACAATTATCATTAATAACCGTTTCAAACGAGATAAATTGAAAACTGTATTATTTTTTACATGTTGTTTTATTAATACAACGTAATTACAACGCAAATTTATTACCTTTTTTTCTCAATATTCGAATCGCTCTCGGCCGTTTTGTATTATAGGATTAAAGAGATATGACCTATGCACAGTAAAGTTGTATTTGATTTATCTATTTTATTAAAATTCCAAATAAAACTTTTCGAGATAAATAAAATCAAAGTACTCAAGTGGGCAGTAGAACACCAGTAAAACACTCGAGTCCATTAGGTCATATTATTGGTTTGGGTGAATGAAATTGGATTTCATGTTCGTTCTAATTTTATCGAAAATAGTTGACGGAGTTATTTTCACGGTTCAAGGAAATTTTCGCAAGAGTGGACATAATTTAAAATTATACTAGTGTTATTAGTAACGAAGATGCGAAACATTTCCAATAATTTTCAAAGGCCGAATTAGTTCGTGGCCTTTAATTTACCTCAGTAAACATATATGTCCGTGATTCGAACCCTGGACATATTTATAAAAAACAGTAATAACCTGCTAATATTTAAGGATCTTTTTTTTTAATTTCTGTCCATCTTACTTAGGTAATATCAAAAATAAGAAATGTTTAACTATTCCAAAAATCACATTTAACTTTTCTGTACCAAAGATCCTTTGAGAAAACTGGACTTGAAAAGGAATCCTTGCTACAGAACCTCTATTGAGACTTTTCCATTGGGTTTACCTTTAAAAGATGACGGAAAAGACACGGGACTTAAGTTTATTCTGCAAAATTCAAAGGGACAAAAAATTTTGTCCTCTCACAGTATTAAAATCAAAAAAAACCTGGGATAACTTATATAAAACACTTTTAAGTGTTCAAAACGCGAAATATTTTATTATAATATAACATTATACGGTCCGTTGTAAAATTACACCGTTTTAAACCGTTAAATTTATTTTATTTAATTCTCGTAGTAGTAATTAAATAATATTATAGGAAAGGTTATTTTGTTTGCGGTATTCTTAAAATTTATCTGCAGGTTTGCTGTGAGTATGCACTTGAAAGACAAACTACTTTAATTGTTAAACTTACAAAATGAACTGGAATTGGTAATTAGTTTCCTAAGGCTAAGAGAACTGACTATAAACTAAGTTCTTGGTTGATTAGTTTCTTGAGTTCAACTCTAACTAACATTAGTTGTTTGGGAGAAACGTAAAGAATTGTTTCAAAGTCTCATGGAGAATGCAAAGAATAGAATATTGGTTCAAATAACGTAACGATTTAAAACTATATTTAAAGACGTCTTTTTTAAATACTGTCTATAGTTTATGCGAGTATTACACATTTATATAAAACACTTTAACGATTTAAAACGCGATATATTAGTTAAACTTATTTAGCAGTGGTCACGGGGAGACTGAGTACACAAGATTGTATTACCTTATATTATAAGACCTGTGACAGTTTTCACGGTATTAAACTAAGAGGTATGCCGTCGATAGTGATGTATAAGCCGAATCGGGTTTAAAGATAAAACCGTAATAAAATACTGTCTATAGTTTACGCGAGTAGTACACATTTAAATAAAACACTTTAACGGTTAAAAACGCGATATATGCGGATGCTTTGCAGCAACCGTCTCCCCGTGACCACGGCTGCTGCAAAGCATCCGAAACGTCGGGCCGAAGTTAAAAATCATTTTCAAATAAGTTTAACTAATATATCGCGTTTTAAACCGTTAAATTGTGTTATTTAGACATCGTTTTTTGCACTTTTTCATAAGATATTAAATCTATTTACTCCGACAAGATCTTTCACTGCACCTTATCCATTTAGCTATCGAATACATTATCTGGTTTAAATAGTATGTAACACACATATGGGAACTTTTCAACCCTTACTACATTTTCTATATCCGTTCCTGAACCATCGTTTATAACTACCACTAGCAGTTAGGTTATTTTCAAAAAGGAAAGAAGGTTGAAAGGTTGAGAAGTTCGAAAACTTTATTATTTTTTACATGTTGTTGCACATGAAGGCACTATATAATTTAAAGATCGAAAAAAAAATTTAAAAATTTTCGACTCGGGCAGGACTTGAACCGGCATCGTCAGCGTTCCGTGCTGTTGCTCTACCAATTGAGCTACCAATTTTAGGACTCGGTAGCTCAATTGGTATTTTATTTTCGAGCTTTACATTAGGTTGAGAAGTGTTTAAAGATATATTTTGAGCTTAAAAACTGTTGACAGAGTTTTAAATAATGCTACCCAAGGGTTATCATTAATGAAGTACTGAACCAGATAACATCTACACAAGATGCGCTATCGACCTATTTTTGCTTTGGATATTCGGAAATCCACAGACTGAAGCCGGGACGGTTTTTTCATCTGTGGACTCTGGTCGTGACCCGGTTGGTATTTCGATATTCCTACCACCCAATTATCCTTATTTGCTAGTATATTCAGATATCCAGACGAAGTCCAACATGTCTCGTCACAGTTTGTCTCGAGTGAACTAGAACGTTGTTACGTAGGATCAAATATTAATTTTAGATAAGACGGCATGAAGTCATAGTTATCGTTCTACTGACACCGAAGTCAGTGGGATAGACTTGTAACTATGTATGTCTAACTAACCGCCTTTTATTTATAAGTTAGCACGTAAGATTTTTCCTCATTTATATGTATTTTCTGTGGTGTATTTTATAAATAATAATGCAATAATAAATAAATATGTATATTAGGAATACATCGTTAATGTCAAGCCTGGAGCAATTTACACAAGAGAGCGAGTTTTGGTTTGCTCATAACTTTATAATAAGCACACAGACCTTTGTTTCGCAGAATACGCCGCTGGTTAATAGATAAAAAAATTGTGTAGTTTATATTTTGTTTGTTTTTGCACACATTTCGTTGTCATTGCTCTGATCAACGGGTTCTATCCCCACCGTCTAATACATTTACTACATGTATTTTCAATTATTTTTTTTCTAAAACCATGTTGGACTTTGTCTCGGTTCTTGAATAAAATCGAATTTAATTAACCCCCGTCTCATTATATGTTCCGGATGCAGTACATCAAGTTTTAAAAGGAAAATAAATGTTTATAAATATGCTGGGCTGGGGTTGGCCATTGAACCCACCACCCGTTAAAGCCCCTCAAAGTTATAATGCATGTAAATTAGTACCAGTACCATATACGGATATCGCTATTATATAAAGCATACGGTTGTTTTGGTAAAATAATTCTCCATCTTATGAAAATATAACTCATATATTTAATAAGCCTATGTCGAGGTAGGATTTTCTTTACATTTTATCATTTTGGTGTATTGCTATGACGATAGCGCGCCCGCGGGCTAAGTGAAATTTCATATATTCGAGAAGCATTTGGAGCAATATTGAAATTTCGACAGTTTCGCAATTGGGAATAGTAATAGCAATATTAAACTTGCAAGAGCTAGGTATAATGTCTAACATGTTGCTAGTTAATTGGCATCTACATAAGACCCAGTTTCAGTTCCAGTTTCCTTGCAGAGCATGGAACCAGAAAATCTCGGTGTCCATTTCTTCCAGATCGATTTAATTTACATAGTACTTCAGACTTCTGTGTCCCGCCGCAAACATTTATTGCTTTTCCAAGATTCAAACCCAGGACATCTCGCTCTTAGCGCAATGCTAGGGAACAATTAAACCATCTATTTACGTCTTTGATGCAACACACACACATTTACATAACCTATAAATGTTACCTTAAAAATTAAACTATTAGGTAACAAATATTACTACTAGTTATAAAGAGCAATGGGCGGCCCTAAGAGCGATCTCTTCCAGGCAAGAAAATTTTGCTACAGAGGGGGACAATTTCCGTATAGTAGAGCCTGTTTACCTGTCAAACGAGATTCCAGTTAGCGTGAAAACGCTGGCAGCCACCGTTACGTTCGCGATAAAGTTGCTCAGTTTGCAGTACCGCACTCCAAACACCCAGTCACTGAAAACAAATAAAGGTTTCAATTTTGCCACCATTTTAACTTGGCTTTGGGCGAAAGTATAAATGATATATTAGTTTATATATTATTAGCTGCGCCAGCGACTTTATCTACGCAGATAAAGTTTTGGGAGTTATTTTTTGTTTTTGAGATTTGCAAACCTCTTCCTCATCTTTACAAAATATAGTTGTTACCCACGACCGAAAAATAGACTATCGCGGACATATTTTTAGATCATTGTAAGAGGAATTATTCTTTTGTACATATCTTTTGGGTATCTTGAACCGTTTGCGAAGCGCAACGGAAACTCTCAATGATGAATAGTTTTGTGGTTTGTGACACCTTACCCACTGTTTTTTTTCCTATTACTTGCTTCTTTCATTCTTCCTGTCTTTCTTAGTAACCCTGTAACGAGGATTTTTTAATTCAAACTAGTAGTTTCTAAGGTTGCAAACGTTTAAACAAACAAAAACTATTTAGCTCTATCCAACAAAAAAAATATTTTTTTAATTAAAACTAGTAGTTCCTGAGATTAGCGCGTTCAAACAAACTCTTCAGCTGTATATATTATTAGTATAGATGTAGAAGATTATTTCTTGTCGGGCATAAAATTTCCTTAAAAGCATAGATCAATCGTGATGCTACTATCCGGAGCACAGAAGCATCAGGATCTAATCTCTTAATGACCTCAAGATTTAACTATTGCCGCCAGTAAATAAACTAAGCCACTATCTGTAGTTTATGTAAGTAGTACACATTTAAATAAAACAGTTTAATGGTCCGACATTTCGGATTCGTAGCTTTTTTCTGAGTAACTCCATCTTTAGACTCCCCGTGACCACGGCTGCTGCAAAGCATCCGAAACGTCGGGCCGCAATAAAAATAATTTTTAAATAAGTAAAAATAATAGCTAAATAGACGAACTAATAATTAATTTAATGGAAATAAATATCATATCGATATATTCTGCAATAAGCTTGATTTGGTCGATACGCAAACCATTAGCCCAATAAACAAGCTAAACGTAAATATTAGCAATTTCAATTGGCTTGGATTCTGGAACGGAATTAATATTCGAATATTGGAACGGTTTTACATGACCTTTAATACGAAAAACCTCATAAAGTACATATTAATCGTCTCCAACCGATTACAAATTAAACACAATATAGGCTGTCGACCTATTTTGACCCTGGATATCCGGAAATTCTATTGGCAACCCCCAATAGTAATGAAATACCACATAATTAACTAATCGACTGCCTCGTTGATCTAGTGGTTGGAAATGAAATAATTCTGATAGCAGCGGCAGCATTGAATCCTGGAAATCATCATTGATTTAGTGATGACAGCCGTTAAAGCTCTTCCTAAAGCTATCTTACAATATGGAAAAGGAGTTTACTTCTCAACAATGACGAGAATAATAGGTTGAAATTAAATAAATAAATTGATCATACACATGCTATTAAAAGCAAATTTTGAATACAGAAATTGTTCCGACAAACGTTGTTTTGCTAACAGACTAACAGTATTCTGTTTCTGGTTAAAGAAATTTTTTGTAATAAGGCCGATAGTATCCAGGACATTATTTTAGATCATTTAAAGACGAATCGTATACTTATTTTTTGTGTGTCTTGAACCTTTTTGGCAGCGGAACGGAAACCCACAAAGATTAATTATTTTCCCCGTTGTTTCTTGGATCATATCATTCAGTTATTGTTTTTTAACTTATAGCCTTTCTCGATAAATTTTCTAAATAACGCAAAAATAATGTTTCAATTCGAACCAGTAGTTTCTGAGATTAGCGAGTTTAAACAAACAAACTCTTCAGCTTTGTATATTAGTATAGACTATAGACACAAAAAGATTAATACACACCTGTGCAGCATGTAGATAAAGTTGAATAAACAATTGAGAGACGACATCATCAGATCAGCGAATGATAAGTTCACCAGGAAATAATTGGTGACTGTTCTCATGCGGCGGTGTGCTGAAAAAAAGATCACACTTTATATTAGGTTCCAAAAGAAAATCAAAGTGACACACATTTATCGCCGCACCAGCTGTCTCACTTTCTCTCCATCTTATGAGTTTTCGATTAGGTCTTGTCTTGACGACAGTTTTGAAGCAATGTATGGCTAACTATGAACGAGTTGTGGGTTGAGGGGCTCACGCGATCTAACTAGTTTCAAATTTACAATTTATAATTTTTCTGAAAATGTTGGAAATCTGTGTATTAAATGACCACCGTCCACAGATGCCAAAACTGTTAAGTTTCATCGAGTTTTGGTTCTGTGGATTTCCGAATAGTCGAAGCCAAAATATGTCAGGAGAGCATCTTGTGTAGATGTTATATGGCTAGAGTTAAAAAAAAAGTAATAATTTTACGCATTACAAAAAAATGCTAACATTGCCAAAGAAGTTTTCAATTCAATAATAAAATAAATAATTCATGGACTACTTTTAATTTGTCCACTGGTAAACATTAAATGATTTTTTTTACTTTTATTTAAAATAATTCTGAAGTGTGAGAATATTTGTAATAACAATACTGTCTACTACTGTAATAATAGTACTATCTGTAGTTTACGCGATTTAAATTTAAATAACATAAAATAAAACCTTTTAAGCGGTTTAAAACGCGTCATATTAGTAAATGTTTCAGCAAAGCATCCAACGTGGGGTTGTAGTTAATATATAAAAAATAAATTGTGTAAGGCTTTCACGGCCATCGTTTAGCATATCATTTAGTTCTCATCTCCTGATGATGCCGTCCACACGTGATGGCGAAACGTCGAGAACCTCTTCTCGCTCACATCGGCCGAACAGCCCGAAAGACAATGATATATAAAAAATATTATTGATTTATTTACCAAAAAGCCTAAATCCCTCTTTGTACATTATATTTAATGCATATAAATTATATAATGATACAATTTATGCCTATAAATTATATAATGATACAATTAAAACATAACACGTAATAATAACAATTTTCATTCAATATTATTCAATTATGTTAACAATAGCATCTCCAATGTAAACTAATGTTATGAATAATTAATATTTTCTTTTCCGGGGAAAATCCCCCCCGGGGGAGGGGGGAAAACAAAAAAAGACCCCAAAAAAACCCAAACAAAAAAATTTTTAAACCCCCCCCCCCTAAACGGGGGGGGGGTTTTTTTTGGGGGGGGGGGGGGGTGGGAACCCCCCCAGGGGGGGGGGGGGGGGGGACCCCCCCCCCCCCGGGGGGGGGGCCCCCCCCCCCGGGGGGGGGGGGGGGGGGGGGGGGGGGGGGGGGGGGGCCCCCCCCCCCCCCCCTTTATAAAGGGGGAAAAAAAAAAAAAAAAAAAAAAAAAATTTTTTTTTCCTTTTTTTGGGGGGGGGGGGGGGGGGGTGGGGTGGGGGGGGGCCCCCCCCCCCCCCCCCCCCCCCCCCCCCCCCCCCCCCCCCCCCCCCCCCCCCCCCCCCCCCCCCCCCCCCCCCCGGGGGGGGGGGGGGGGGGGGGGGGGGGGGGGGGGGGGGGGGGGGGGGGGGGGGGGGGGGGGGGCGCCCCCCCCCCCCCCCCCCGCGGGGGGGGGGGGTTTGTTTTTTTTTTTTTTTTGAGGGGGGGGGGGGGGGGGGGGGGATCAAAAGGGTATCCAATTCTAAAGACAGTAAGGGTGTCCTAGAAATGAAATTCTGCGAAAATGAAAAATTCTGCAATGACTGGCCTTAAACACTCAAAAAGGCAAGAAGAATATTTATCTCGTATATTTGATCCATTATTAATAATATGCCTATGTACTGGTGCAAAATGGCCGCGGGAGCTTTAAACAATTAACAATTTACCTAGTTTCTTATTCATAATAGATGAAAGCTTTGAACGCAACGAATATCGATCGTGTACCAGCTAAAAGCTATTTTAAGTGCAAGTTGTAAATAATAAACCATAACGCCGATGTTGGTAGAAGTTCATATTTCAATCAATCGTTTAATGATTTTCTTCGTGACAGAGGAGGATGCACGTGGGCTGTCGTGATGGTAGTTGAAATACCCCCAGCTATAAAACGTTATAAAATAAGCAACTTGGATTGGTAAATTCAGAACTGAAAGCGAGACATATATATATGGATAGTGATAAATATTTATGATGATGTAAGTTAGAGATTATTGCGATCAGATGTTAAATTTTTACATAGTATTTCATATCCTAAATAAATGACAAAAAATATAAGATAGTAAGAAATCCTTGTAAAATTCCTCGTTATTATTATTTCATATATTTATATATTCAGTAGCGAACTTGTATCGCTACATTATACATTCTTGAAATAATTTTGTATGTATCTCATATCTTTTCATTTTGATATTCTACGTATTTTAATTTATTTTACAACTAAAAAGTAGTTCAAACAACGTGGACTTAATTATTAATATTTGTCAAGCTTTACGATTCGTATACGACTATACAAATTCATATAATCTAGTCTAAAATGAAAGGTTGCATGACTGCCCGTGATAAAACAGGTACAATTTATTAGCTCGACATTATTCATAGTTGAGTTAATGCTGACTTTAATATTACAGACATTTTTATAGATATGTAAGACATACCTATTTTCCAATCTCTATAATGATAAAGACTAAACAATTTGCTGGTTGAGTATGCAGTCAAAGTTTCTTTAGTCTTGTAGTTTATTATTGAAATTTAATCAGATTAATTTGTGACTCTATTTTCAAACGTCTATAACGGAAAAAAAGGTTAAATTATTGATTTCTGCTTTAAAGCTGTCATGGTTGTGAAATGGGTTTTTAGGTTTCACCAGCACAAGTGAAGTCACAGCGCGATGTAATTATGTAATACATTCTCTATCACAAAAATAATTTTTCAATTCGAACCAGTAGTTCTTGAAATAAGTGCGTTCATACAAACTAACTCTTCAGCTTTATTATTATAGACATGGTTTTGGTCAACATTGCTTTGAATTTCTATTCACCATGACATCCATCCATAACACGTGTAAGCAAAACCTATAATAAATTTATTCTAATTGCACCGTTTGTCATTTCTTTTGTTATCCTACTCGAAAGAAATTAAAAACTAAATGCTTTTACCGCGTTTAATTTAAGCGTTACTTTTTTCACATGTTTTATCGTTGCACGTGATAGCATCGCGTCATAGCCGTGGGTTCGAATTCCGCAAAAACATAGATTTTTCAACAGAATAGTAGAGTAGAATAGACTTATGTACAATCTTTAGTTTACGCGAGTACTCATTTAAATAAAACACTTTAACGGTTACTCGAATACTTTTACGACGAGATCTCCTTCCGTGACTACCGGAAAAAATCTAAAACTTCGGGCCGTTGTTAAAATAATTTGTAAATGAGTTGAACTAATATATTTTGCGTTTTAAACCTCTAATGTGTTTTATTAAAAAAAATAGTTAGTGACTTAGTACTTTGAACAAACTTTAAGTCTGACTCTTAAATAACTTTGAAAGCCAGTCGGTAACTATCAGTCGGTAGTCTATTTATAAATTTCTATATTTATAACTTCAAAATGAAGAAAGATTTTTCTGTTGCCAGTATTTTTCTGCTTGCCAAAATTTTACCTCAAACTAAAAAAAGTTGCCATTTTCTTAGCGTTTTGAGATGTAAATTAATTTTCACTGTACACCGACACTTTGACGTCTGTAACCGATGCCAAAGCATATTTATGGCTTAAGTTTTGCGAATAATTAACTTTACGAAACAAAGTATCTAATATTTACGAGTTCAGTTATAGATAGTTTGAAAACTTTGCCGTTTTATACAAGGAGAACTTGGTCGCTTACGAATTTTGCACGAGAGATCTCTTTAATTATTAACTCGAGTTTTATTGCTTTTAATTTATGAAATCTTTAGTGAACCCATTGAGTTATCATGCACTTAACTGACTTACAATTACAATAATCTGTTGTTAGGTTACAATTCGAAAATTAAGACCTAAAATACAATTGTTAAGAGGTTAAATGTTTTTTGAGTTATGAATGTGTCGAATTTAATCTTATTAGATTAAATCTAACCTAGCGAATTAGACCATCCTGTTACGTTGGACTGTTATTTAATGGTACCAAATGAATGTAAACGTCATAACGTTGGCTATGGAATAAAAGTAGTCTCGGAATTTCTCCTTCTTCGAACTTAGTTTAATTGTAAACTGGCACGGAAATCTTTACAAGCTTACTATTGTAAAATGTATTATTACATTGCCTAAAAATAATAGTATTAGTTTGATGGATAATCGAATTATACACGCAAGGATAAGTCACGCGCTTGTCAGTTACAGAAATTACCATCAAAAGTGACAGAACATGATTTGTTAATCATTGCCAGGAATTTATAGTCATTATAGTAAAGGTTAAGGAAAGGTTGATTGATAGTTGTATATATAGCTTTGAGATATCTCCTTCTGTGACAAAAACGACAGTCAAGCGTAGAGTTCACTTTAGCTTATGTTAAAAGATTCAAACTAAGAGATGTAATTATGATACGTTGTCGACCTGTTTTAAGTTTGGACATGAGGCAAGAAAAATAAAACTACTTATATAATGTCCAAAATCAAATTTAATTATTTGATCACTAAAAATATATTTTTAATCCTGACAGCTTCAGGTTATGTGTTCGTTTGAAAAAAATGTTGTTCGACATTGGTAATAGATGTTACCAAAATTCTAAAACTACCTTTAAACTATTGGAAAATAATTGATACCCACTATCGTTAAAGTAAAATTGTGTACAACGTCCTAATTTAGGCGTTAACTCAAGGATTTCCCTATTTTCCAAGAACAAAAGAGGCTTCGGCTTCAGTTATTGGATTTCCTAAATTTCCAAAGCAGATTTCCCTAACAAAAGATTTCAATACCGCACGATATGCTTCTCTGCTCGCATTGACTCAAAATAGTAATTTCATTAGGTTACTAAGACTTGGAAATCATCAATGTGGAAATAGTATCGAAAATGTCAACTCTAGGAAGATTTGTGAGGATCTTGTAACCAATATCGTTTTTGAAACGTCAGCTAGTGACGCGCGTTTTATGCTTTTGAAAACCTTTGTGAGTATAATGAACTTTGTCCGTTTCTTTGTTTAATTCAATTTAAACGTTTGATCTACGTATACCTTTTCATATTAGGTGGCTTGTATTGTATACTTGTTGTCTTTAATTTAATGTATCTTTAAAACATCTTAAACTGGAGTTTTTTCAAGGAAAAGAACGGTTTTCTTTTACAGAGAAGAACAGACAGCCTCCAAGATTACTTGGTGGAAGGTGAAATAACACAGCCAAATAACATCGAAAGCAATTTCGCCTTAGGGAAATCCACTGCACTGAAACTGAAATGCGAAACCAAAATCGGAAATGAAATTTTTCAGATTCTTTGTGTGCACTGTATGTAGTGTATGTGTCTGCATTGTATGCTGTGGGAGCGATATTTCTTCCGTCTTATCGTTTTTTTGCTTTTGCATCTGTTAAAGCACACTACATGTGCAATTACCTACATTTATTATATTAGATATGAAAATTATTTTTTTTACAAATTATACAATAGTTTTCCGTCTTTCAGGGGTAAATAATACTGTTGTTAGATTATTATTTGTTACCAGCTGACCACGAAAACGTACTTTTGTTGTATGAATTATTTCATAAATGTATATCTATTTTAAAAATAGATATACATATACTTGTTAGAACATTTTTCAGATTATTTAAAGAAAAATAAAACCTATTACACATATATTACCGTTATTTTTAAAAATTTTTGCAAGGCACAAAACGGAATCCCTCACATTTTTTAATAGTTCTTCACTCCTATTAGTCGCCAATGTTTAATTGTCTAAACCCTTTCATGATAAATGATTTATTTAACACAAAAATAACTCATAGTCCTGAAATTAGCGCGATCACACAAATAAATTCTTTAGCTTTATAATATTAGTATAGTAAAAGAAAATTTATTTATGTAGCTGCAGGACAAGGTAATATACCCCCATTCAAGTGAAACTTTCCAAAATCCTTATAAAACGCACGTACTTCCATGACAAGCAAGTTCAGTGATAGTCGATATTAGCTAACGAACTATCTTCCTTAATTGAAGTCCCTTGCATAATGGAGAAAGGTTCAATATTCCAGTAAAACAATATTTTATCCTGTGAAAGCTTGAACAAACGTATAATATTACAAACAGATTCGCTGCATGAGGAAAATCATAGTTACGTCTTATCTCCCAAGTGTAATTAAAGAGTGAACAAGAAATCTTATTACAGATACAATTATAATAAACCTATATAATATGAAAATGGGTTATTTTTATTAATTTTTACTCTAATCCAATTTCAGTATTATTAAATATCTCATTAACCTATATTACATTGAAAAAAAATTACGACAAGTATCAAAACATTGAATATAATCGACTATGACGTGTAAATCTTCGTAAATGAATTGAATAGAGCAATAGCACGGAATGCTGTGAACGCCGGTTCAAGACTCGCCCGTCTAGTGAAAAATTTTCATACTGAAGTGGATTTTTAACTTATACAATGCCATCATGTCAATGTATGTAACATTTATTAAAATACAATTGATGATTTATACTTAAAAACAATGCATTAAATTGAACTATTAAACCACAAAAAATATCTTACTCTATATTTTATAGTGCTACGTCGTAGCTTTCCTGCTACGAAGCGTGTAGTTGTTAGTGTTAGCACAGCAAATATTCCTGTTATTTTTCTCAAAGGAGTTTCATCGGAGTAAGATTAAATGTAAAGGTAGGGAAAATAGTAAATGCAAGAAGAAAAAACCTTGAACACTAGAGAATAATAAAAATAATGCTTAAAAACAAAATAAAGCAAACACAATCAAAATTTTTCGGTTTTTAATTTATATAGTGCCATCATGTGAACAATATCAAAGTTGAAACATTATAACTTTGTAATTTCATTTTCAATGATTTTATTAAGCTGCAAAGCATTAAGTCTTAATACGCAAATTTCAAGCGAGAGGTGCATAATTATATAAATAGGTTGAAAAAATTCGACGATGACGTGTAGGACTCATACTAGTAGATTTTAGATTTACAATTATACCAAGAAACCATAATCAGCTGTATATATGTTTAAGGTTTAGTCCATATAAATAAATATAATTTAAGGGCAAAATACATAAAATTTTGAATGCGCTTGAAATCTTAAATAGTAAGTTGATAAATTCTAAAGAAATTAAAAAAAAAGAGCCCGGAACTCGAACCCACAATCCACACTGTGTTATAATAAACGTTTAAATAAAATTAATTTTCTTACAGTTAGGCAAAATTGATTCCATCTTACCCGTAACGATCCAAATGACAATAGCATTGCCACCAATAGCAACGGCTAACATGGCCGCAAAAAGACACACCCAGGAGTTATGGGCCCACACGGGCATTCCATTCACCGTCGTTGGGACTGCGGTAGCCTTTGGTACTAGGATTGTAGCGGCACTGAGCAGGCTCCGATTGAAATCCATCTGCCATGTGTACACGACCTATTAACAAGTAGTTTAATTTATAAAACGATAAGTTAACCATGCATTAATTGCTTTATAGAGGTAGGATTTCTGAAAAAGAAATTATTTCTAAGAATATAAGTATCGCTAAGCTTAAGACAAAAAGCTTTGGTTCTGTTTCTTTAAAATTTAATAGCATTGAAAAAAATTCTTTCAAAAATTTCTATTTGTTGCTGCTTTTATATTATACCTATATATAACTAGCTGATTCGGTGACTTCTTCCGAGTAGAATAGTTATTTTGGACATCAAATTTGTTTTTGCAAACCTCCTGTTTAACTCTATATACTAAGTTTTTGCCCAAGACTCCCCCGCGTTCCATCGTTCTTGCAAGTTAATCTTAAAAGATAGTACTAACACTGTCACGGATGTTTTTTTAGATCATTTAAAGAGAAATCATTTCTTCTAACACATTTATTTGGTATTTTTAACCGCTTTCGCAAGCCCCCAACATACATAATTTTCCTCGTTTTTTTTTCCTGAGGTTAGCGCGTTCAAACAAACAAATAAACAAACAAACTCTTTAGCTTTATATATTAAGTATAAGTGTAGATAAATGTTCAACATATAAGCAAATTAAAAAAGGATTATTAGCTATGTAGAAAGAAATGTTTCATGTTGCTCTTATAAATATCTGTTCTAAAATTGCGTCTACGTGGACTTTTCGTAGAGTTTTAAGCTGACAGAATGTAAAAGTCCCGGGCAAAAGTAATAAAATGACTTTAACACCCGGAAAGTTTCTTTCATACCTTTTTCAAAAGCTAACTCGTACGAATTGTTAATAAACATAATATATTGGAGTATTTTCATATAGATATTTGCTGAGTCTAAAAAGGTATTTTCTTATGAGCGAGACGAAAAACCGATAAGAGCCCAACAACAAAATTCAATCACAGCAGGAAATCTTTCAGAAACATCTACGAATTCGTAATTCTTTAACGAATAAATTATTTCATATTTATACACAAAAATCATAAATATTATCACGGCTAAATAATACTTTCGATAAAATCGTGTTCTATAAACATAATCGTATCTCTATACCGTGTTTCGTGGTATTTGGTTCGAATAATAAAAAATCTTTTCTAATTTATTACACTTTTATTCACTTGTAATTTGTTACAAATGTTTTTTATATTATTTCTTTATTGAACGCTACTAACTCCTAAAATACCCTTTATAGACTTTGTGATTACTTATAGCTTAGGATTGTTATAGATTCTTTTCGCATTATAGCATTGGCTGTATCTATACTAATATATAAAGCTGAAGAGTTTGTTCGTTTGAACGCGCTAATCTCAGGAACTACATGTTCAAATTAAACATTATTATTGCGTTGGTTAAAATTTTTTATCGAGAATGTTTAAAGGCTATAAAAGATCATGCTGTAACTTATAGAAGTGATACAGCGGGAAATGTAAACAAAACGGGGGAAGTTTTTCATCTCTGTGGGTTTCAGAGGCGTTAAAGAATAATTCCTTTTTAAATGATAAAAAAAAATGTCCGCGACACTATATGTCTATCTTTTAAGATTACTTGCAAGAATGACGGGACTGGAAGGACGGGTCGCGAGTGACGGAACGCGGCCGATGTCGTGGGCAGCTTAGATTTTTAAAAATTCTACATTTTAATATAAAGACTATGGAAAAACAAATTTAGATGCCCCAAAATAAATAGTTTACGCGGACGAAGTCGCTGACACAGCTAGTTATTTATATTACATATTTATACCAATATATAGAGCTAAATAATTTATTTGTTTGCTTGAATGCGCTAATCTCGGGAACTACTGGTTCGAAATAAGAACATATTTTTGTGTTAGTTGGACTTATTAATCTTAGAAGGCTATAAAATATTAGGCTGCAATTAATAGGAGCGAAGAATCAGAGGGAAATGTAAAAAAACGTGAAAATGTATTCAAATTTAAGGGCTTCCATAACGCTGCGAAAACGATTCAAGATAACAAAATACTATGTATGAAGGAATGATTCTTCTTTAAATGATTTTAAAAATCTCCGCGACAGTATATAATTTTTAAGATTAACTCGCAAAAACGACGCCGGTATGCGGCTGAATATGTAACAGCTATAATTCAAAAACAGGTTGTTTGCAAAAATACATAAAATGAAGCCTTCAATAATTGATCTACGCGGATGAAGTCGTGGGCACAGCTAGTATATACTATACTAACTCGAAAGCTATCATATAAAAGCATATAATATCGTTCTTTGCCTTTGCGCAGTGTCTTTATTCGACTTACTAAGTTACTCACATTTAACGCTACAGACCTATAGGATCTCACAGTAAGTGCTTTGATTTAAGTGTTAACTTATTCAAAGATGACCGAATCAATAGAACACTGACTTAATGCGAACCCAGGTGGACGTAGCTCGGTTTGATAATTACATCGAGATTAATCGTCGATAACAATCCACAGATTCGAAAATAGAATAAAATAAGCCGTTAAAAACACCTGCCGCTCACGTATAAAACATTTAAATTGGACACGAAATGGTTTCACAAAATAGTAATGATCTCCATAAAATAAAGCGTAAAATAACGTAGGTATATCAGAGTAAATATCACCGTGTGATTGTAAACTACCCACATAGGCAGCTACACTAAATTAAACGCGAGATATATACATGAAATGTCTCTGTGCATATGACAGATCAACCAATGGAGCGGGGAAATGTTGTTGAATGGCATACACAAATTGACGGCTTATCTTTGATAGATTATAATCAACAAAAAATCACACAAACTGCGTTATTTTTTTTACGATAGATGAGACGGACAAGCATGAGGTCTTGTCACTTGGTGGTAGGTGAAACACCTCAGCCATATGACATATCAACAAGATGGGTATTGACTTTGGATATTGCCTATTTTGGCTTTGGATATTCGGAAATCCACAAATTGGAACCGAACCCCGATTAAACTTAACGGGCTTATCTGTGGACTGAATTTCGATATTCCTACCACCCGTTTAATATCCAGATTTCCAGACGAAGTCAAACACATTTCAGAAAAGTTATAAATTGATTAGAAAATGCTGGATTGGAAATGGGGATCTAACCCACGACCGACACATTGACGACGACGTTGGTTATGTGTCACATACCGCCACCATTTCATCAAAGACCTCGTCACAACATACCAGAGAATAACCGTTAGTTTAAAGAATGTATCAAATACAAATATTTTGCTAAAGAAAGTCAAAGTATCTTTCACGCAGGGCTTTTAAAAATATTTGATTTAAAAACATTGACCAAGTTTCAAAGGAAACAGTATTTTTGAACTGTGTGCTTTGAATTCTTTTACAAATTATTTGTTACTTTGCCATTCAAAATTACGCGTAAAACATTTAGTAAACAATTCTCTTTTTTTCACTTCCCGGGTTGAAAAGCCTTCAGATTTTAAAACATATAACGTTATAGAATGTTAATAATATGACGAAAACTATTTGACACAAAATTAACGTTACATACGTTAAAAAATTAAGTTTTTAAACATTACATTAATTTGTCGATATTAAATACCAAAAGATTACTATAAACAATTGTCTAATATATTAAAACAATTACCAGTTATTATCAATAATGTTAATTTAATGAATAGAATAAACAATACACTTGCGGTTATTGTGTCCGCGGTTTTTCAGTATACAAATGTAATTTTAACTTAAACAATTAAACGACCTAAAACTCGCGATTAATAAGTTTACTCTTCCTTTTAAATGGTTTCGTTATTCAATCTGTTCAATTTATTTACTTGTAAAATATTTATTAACAATGCTCACCGCTTATTTAATATTAAGGGATAACCCGTTCCCCCCCGTGGGGACTGGGGAGAACGCCTAAGCGGCGAACAAGTGAAAACTTGTTTCCTCTAGTGGAATAGAGAAACATTTGTTCCGTTTCATTGGTTTTATAGCAAGTAGAATCAAATTCTGTGTCCCTGCCCGACCAAAACAATCTATGTATCCTTCGGGAGGAACCGAGACATTCTGTGTCCGTTTCATGGGCAACGTTTTACTATTTAGGTACAGAGGTGGAGGTTTGTAATTCTATAATGACCATCAGGACATCCTAGAATAATCATTCATCAAAAGTATAGGAAAAAATAATTATCTTACATCAAAAACCTCCACAAATTACACAAAATTCCGCTTACATATGTCAGTCCGTATGATGACCTAAATATGTTTTTGGGGCTTATATTATATCGTCATCAATTCCGTTTGAGGGGAAAAGGCAGACTGACATGTTGGAAGCAATTTTTCACACCAGGAAAAGTATTAGGCCATCCGTGTCACATGGCCGGATAGGGGATTAATGGGCCTTTAGTGCACAATTGCTTATAACAAGGGTTTTATTACTCTTTTCCATTTATTGAATCCTAGTACTCGGCAAATATACAATAATCTCTAGCTTTATCCGTGATTTGGACACGACCATATATCAAAAACGAGAAATATTCATATATTTTTCAACTTGACAATTTTCTTCAATGACGATACAGAAAAACTATATTTCGTATTTTACATTTAAACAGCTTCATTTTACTTCCTTCGTTTCTGATAATAATAGAAAATAATTCGACTGGGCGCCTTGAGAAAACGGAAAATGTTTTTCCTGAAGTATCATTGAATTTAATTTTCTATTCTCAATAAATGAATGCATATCAACTGAATAACTTGATAATACAATATAATTTTAACAGAGGAAAAGAAAATTTATACAATACTACTTAGTTTTCAATAAGATGTTTTCAAAAGTAAATTTTAAAATATTGACAAGGATCCTTCTTAATAGAATTTTGAATTTTAGTTTTCAAAAAAGTCTTTCTCTATTTGATTCGAGCTAAATAAATACTTTTAAATAAAGAAAAATAAAAATACTATATTGTCTTGATACTTTTTGACTGCTGTGTGTTCGCTGTAGGCCTCCTTAGAGCGTACACAGCAGTCAAATCGTGTGTAAATGAATATAAATTAATTAAAATTGACGGAATTGAAATCAAAATGATTTTATCAATATGTAACAATTTTCTTATTAATGAAACGATCGACTATCATTGTCTAATTTCTATAAAGACTCTATAGTCGTACGAATCTTTAGAATAGTCTACAAACTGACTAACAATCAAATCGCTTCTTAATCTCACATGAAACGGGGCTTCGAGGGTTGAATGTAGTTTACGTAACCGCGTACCCAAACCAAATACATCATACACTTACGACAGTTCAAAATACAAATTTTTGAGGTATAATAAATTAGCCGTGGTCATGTGTATACTACTGAAAAGTATTAACAATATATAAATACAATATTCCTTGTTTTTAGAGTGTTTGTTTTAATTAAGGGTTTTCCTAACTAAATAATTTTTCTATTACTATTATAACATTGCCAACATTACAGAATTCGTTCGACTCGTAAATTTTGTACCCGAAGTGTATTAAATCCGTCAGTCCCTTCTGAGATTTAGCTCACTAGTCATTATTATAGGGTTGTCAGGTTCCGTCAAGAAATCAAATTAGCTACAAATGGAAGCTTCCAGAAATTCAATTGTTTTAAACGCGAAATCCTTCATATAATCCGACATTCGAATCGAAGTGGCATTCAAAGTAAAAAGATTTACTAATTAATAATTCAAATAACACAAACAACGCGTTAATTTGGTTGTGGTACGGTCATCTGTTTTCAAACTAATTAATGAGGAGATTGCAATTTGACAAACCAATTTATAACTAATAGGTACGTGCTCGTTGGTTCAGTGGTAGGTAGATTATGTAAAGCATCGTGGTATCTCGAATTCCATCTGGTACAACATGCTTATTAATTTCACTAAACTAGTTAGACATACCTGGAAAATCAAAATTCTGTTTGTATGAATTGAGTCTGAAAGACTTGATAAAACATTTCGGAGTCATATTTTTTTTTAATTCACGCAGTACCTACGACAAACAGCGTTCCTTGTTCTTGTTCGACCAATTGATCTATACACGCATATAATGTTATTATAAAATTAATTCAAGTATATACATATAGTCTCGAATAGGTGTCGACTTGAATCGGTTTTTAAATTAAAAAAACTTTTTTATTTTTGTTATTAAAGCGAAGTTTTATAAGTTAAAACTTGGTGATAGGGAGATATAGATTAGAGAAAGAATTGGCAAGAAACTCGCCGCCACTCCTTTTACCGTCAAGTTACATTTTACACTTTTCACGTACCTTAAGTGCATACACACACATCCACATCCGCATCGTTTAACCTTATTGATTAACGTCATAATAAACCTTTCCAAAAAAATTGTTACTTCTAAACATTTTCCCTAACATACAAAACATTTTCATAAATATATTGACTTGCCAGTGTTAGATATTCAACGCTACAACTTCAACATACCGACGTCTATGAAACGGGCATCCTTATTTCCATTGATACCCAATCTGTTTGTGTTGAATATATTATGTAGGCAGGTGTGACATGCAAACAACCGGTAAGCCGAAGGACGGTGAAACTCAGCTTTAGGCTACAGTTTCATGGAATTCGTCTTGAACTGTTTGTCTTGCTAAATCAACACATCTCGTGTTTGCCACACGAGTAAATGTCTCGTGGGACATACAAAAAAAAATATTATAATCTTGAACATTTTTCAATAAAGGAAGCACAGAGATCACCATTATAATGTTTTTATAATAAGCAAAATACGCTACCCGCCTACGACCCACTTTCAACAGATGATAAAGTCGCGAAGCTTAATCGCGTTTCGGTTTCAGTCTGTGGATTTCCGAATATAGCCAAAATAAGTCGACGGCGCATCTTGTTTAGATGCGCCGTGAGTCGATAGGCTAGGGTATATCACCTACCATCAAGAGAAACCCATGTCATGTCTGTCCTTCTCTATCATTAAAGAAATAACAACTAATATATTTCGCGTTAAAGTATTTTATTAAAAGAGAAAACTCTAACCAATATACTTTTTCATCTCATATTCAATTCTTTGAAGACACGTTCTTTTCTCTTCAAGTTCAGTTCAGTCTAGTGTTAGCGGTTAAAAGATCCAAGTTATAAATTCAGTGTTCAATTCAAGTAGCAGAAAACTTTTAACTCAAACCTTGTTGAAGTATCTTTTTCACTATGAATAAAACTCGCGATTTTAAAGTTACAACATTAATTCCTTTTAGCACTCTTGAAAAGTCTATCGTCAAAAAGCAATTACAATTAAAATTATTATATTGCTGGAATAATTAGACACTGCAATGTCGGTAGATTTGGAGGATTGAAATTCCATTGTTATTATATTTTACTCACGTTTGACATTAATCTAGTGTGTATTCTACACACGGGACACGAACCCACTAACAGCGCACAACAAAAAAATGTGTATGTACAAATAATATACTATACAATTTATGATAGACAAACATGGCATATCTAAATGAATAAATGAATTAAAATGTCGTGAAAACATAAACTGCCGCGTTGGTTCATTGGTAAGTGCACTCGACTGCAGATAACAAGGTCCTAGGTTTAGTCCAAGATAAAAGCTACTAAATATCACTACTAATTTAGTGAAGGTAGCCGTAAAAAGCTGCATTGGAGAAACACATGTGCCCAACAGCACCAAGACTTACCTCAAGATCGTCCGCAGTGTTTCGCACTTCATGTTTCGCGTAAAACTTGTCATTTTCAAGCGTAGTATTTGATTCGTCCATTTTCAAATTCCAAGGGTTTACCTAAGTTATAAAGTCGCCGTTCACAATGGCTTCAACTATTTGCAAAGTAAACATCGTTCGGTCGGAAATCTGAAACAAAAAAATTAAAACATTATGTCAAAGAAAGTATGAGAGTACGAACGTTATTGTTTGAAATTAGATTTCAGTGTCGAGAAATGTTTCAGTTTCGGAGACAGTGATTACGTGATTATTGTTTGTCTTTCTAGCTGAAGGATTTTGGAATCGAATTTACATATTTACAGACTTTAACTTTCATCTTTAATGATTTTCGCGAAAGTAATGGTTCAGTGATAATGTTTTAAACATATATAGTATTAAATAAATAGGCGTGGTTGCATTTATTTTCAATCTTCGTAAAATAAAATAAAAAAACACTTTTGTTTTACTTTTGACAAAGTGTTAAAATATTATTTTAGTGCGGCATGGGGCGAATATATTTTAATATTAATAGACAACTAGTTGTTCAGATTTCTGTGTACTGACCGACAGAAATAAGTTATTGTTTCCTTGGGATGTGAATCCAAGACCTCTCGATAGTGTGAATGTCTAACGCTGCCCACGTCGGGCAATACTGACGTGGAGAGTGTGGTAAATTGCACAACAACCTCTTCGGAGACAATAGTGGACGTAGTTCCGCTCCGCTATTGTCTCCGAATACACGTTTGTATGACTCCAAAGCCTTATGCAATACTAGGCAACACGCTTAACCAGTAACAGAGATGGACTTTAAATATAACAGACAATTACCGCCATTGGACTGTTTGATAACACAAGGGGGAAGGTAACGTCGAAAACCTGTGTAAACGAGCAATTTTAATAAATCTATAGCTTTGCCATTCTTCTTCTCTTCTCTTAAATACGGTTACTTTTAATTAATTACATAAAGGGGTCTCTTCGAGGCAATACTAATTGAATAAGGAGCGTGCTATTAAGTCAATAGGAACTTTGCGAGGCACAAAGGCAATTATTATCAGCCTTAATATTTCTGGATAAAACGACTCTTCTAACGATCGTTGAATACAGTTTAAAGACTTAACTTGAGAAGCACTATTAATATAAAATTTTGCCTATATACGACATAGTTTTGAAAACGACAATATAATAATTGTAATCTGTTTTAAAACATAGCTTTGGTGCGAACTGACGGCATTTGAAAATATACATCAATTTTCAAACAGCTAATCATAATTTTTGACGGTTGTACTATACTTACTACTATATTTGGTACATATTTGGACTACATATATTTGGTACAATATTACAAATATTATAAAAAGGTAAATTTTTTTATTATGTTTTTTTTTTCTATTTAATTTGATGCACAGATTATATTAGGTGAGAGCAGTATTAAATAAAAATATTAACATTCCGTAAAAATCATTTTTTTTATATGAAATTTCTGAAAAATATTAAACTAGACCATTAAATCCATGGATAAGTTACTTAGTTTAAGACGTTACGAGAAGGCAAGAACACACTTTCACATGTTACTATTAGTATTTTTTATAAATCACAATTTAAAACCTTAAATGTTGTTCTATAACAAACAATTAGCTTAACATTTTCTGGATATAATGCAAAGTTTTATAATATTTTACAAATATGGCTTCACAAAAGTTCTATATCTTTCTGACTCGAGAGGCTTGAGGTTTTAGTATCAGCTAGCTAAACCCTTGTGGCTATAAAATGTAATGAAAACTAATAGTGTCCTAGATAAAACTCGACCAACATTTATCTAGATTTCTATACTAAGTTAGATAAGATATACTTCAATATACTGTTATGAAATAAAATGAATGTTTAAAATTCAAACAGACAGTTGGAAAGTCGGTGTATTTTCTACTTTGCTGAACATGAATTTTTATTAAATATTATTAATTTCACGAGAATTTGCCTGCTTCAACGTCTATCCCTCGTAATTACCTCCTTATAGCTATTTTGATATTAAAATAAAATGAGATCGGAATTTCAATTGAATTCAAATCTAACGCTGATTTGACCTTATTAATTGCTTTGAGCTATTAATAGAAGAAATATTAACTTTTTGTTCTTGATATTAAAATGAAAATATCTATAATGATTACAAAATAATATAAGACATCAATTTCATATGAATTATTTATATTGAAGAAATGTGGCTTTGATTTCAGTAGCGACTAAAAAGCAGTGCTTATGGCAATTAGCAAAAAAAAACACAGAACAGCACTAACGCCAAAGAGACATAGTTGTTTAGAATGTTAATGATCTGAAACTATCAAGTATTTAAATACTGTCTGTAGTTTACGCGAGTAGAACAAATTTAAATAAAACAATTTAACGCGATATATAAATATATTCTAAATAAGTCTAACATATATCGCGTTTTAAACCGTTAAAGTGTTTTATTTAAAATATTTTTTGACAAAATATAACTGACGTAAAACATTAAACTAAAAATTAAAAAAAAATACTTAATATAATTATTACGAAATTTGATTTAGGTAAATAGAAATGATTGGGCAAATATTTTTAAATTATTATTTTTTTGCAAAACCTAAGTAATTAAAAGCTAAACCAAAGAGATTCCTCGCTGACATTTCGTAAACATAATATAATAATTTAAATCACGTACAAAAGCAATTACCAGAAACCCTCGCAGATTGTAAAAATATGAATGTTTCTTCAAACCATACAATTGTATAAACATCGAAAGCCTCGATGTTTTGATTGTTAATTTTGTTGCTAAATTGAATTTTAAAACGTTTACGCGGTTAGAATAATTTATTGTGCCCTGTTTACATAACTGCTCTCACCGTTTTGTTCCGCGTAGCTTCCTTCTAATTCGCCGGACATTTGCCGTGATGTACTTAATTAAATTCTTAATATAAATGAATTTTACTTAAATTTATTATTATTAAGAAGTATTTCAGAGAGATCGAATAACTTAAACCAACGACCAACAGAATACCGTGCTGTTATTTTCCCAACTCGAGTACCACACACGTCATCTATTTTTCAAATCTTTAGTATTTAGATACTGTTTTAAACCTAACAACGAATGTATAGATTTAAGTAAACCCAAAGTAAACACTAGGCTTTGGAGTAATACACTTTTACCTGCTTAAAATGCGAAATACATTTGATAATGGCCGGATATTTCGATTACTTTACAGCAGCGGTGCTCAACAGCACAAAGCATCCGAAACGTCGCTATCTATGGCCCGACGTAAAAGAAATAAAAAAAGTTAATCAATATATTGTTTTAAACTGTTTACATTATTTTATTAAAATATGTACAACTCGCATTAATGTTTAATAAAAGTATAGAAATACTTCATCTCTGTATTTATATAATATTCAATTATTAATAAAAAATTGTAAAATTTAACTAACATATTTCATGTTTTAAACCCTTTAGTGATTTTATTAAATGTGTACTACGCGTGTAAACACAGATTGTATTGAATATTAGTATATATATTTCAATTCATTTTGTACCTTAATTTTATTAATATAATATTACTAAATTATTAATATAAAATTGTTACAACAAACAGTATTATTTTGTTATTTACAGTACTGTAAATTCTTAATTCAGCTTGACCTCTTTACTGGGAGGCATATTATGACTGCTCAAGAAAATCAGTCAAAATTTATTATCTTACTTGCCAAATAGAGGCAATCAACATTAATAATGTGATTTGACATGTCTGTGCGCAGCGAAATTACCTTCAAGAATAGATTCGAGTATAGAATTGTATAATGTAGATTAACAAAGGAAACTTAACTGAAGGCCCGGAAATTTCTTCAATCAACAAACATCTTTTGCTTAACAGATAAGGAAACGTAAGCTGTTATATAAATATTTCAAAATAAGTCTAAGTAATTATCAAATATCCAGAATGTCATAATTTTAAAAGGGGTTTACTTCTCGGGGAAAGCATACAAACGATGAGTACTTTTTTCTAAATTAAAAAGGACGTATAGCGTAAAAGTATAGTTTTGATTTTACAGTATAAATAAAATTTAAATTAGTATGTTGTTATCGCGATCGCCAAACGCTGCTATGACCCCGCTTGAAAAATAATTGGAATGAGCATGAGTTAAGATGTTAATTTGTAAAAAAATAACAATCATATTAATTACTAGACTAGCATTATACACAAAAAGTCTCCCCCCAGAAAACTAAACTTATTTATTAAAACTTTATATAAATGGTATTTATCTCACGTAATATTTATATAAAGATTATGCGATGCCGTGGGAAGACAGGCTCCGCGTAACCACGGCTGCTGCAAAGCATACAAAACGCCGGGCCGAAATTTAAAAGAATGTTCAAATGAGTTCAACTAATATATAGCGTTTTAAACCGTTAAAGTGTTTTATTTAAATGTGTGTATTACACAAACTTAAAACTCGCGTAAACCACAGACATAAAAAAATCTATTCTAAAAGAATTTTATGGAATATAATAAATATTTTTTATAAGAACTATATTATATTATATATATTATGCGATAAATATTTGTTATGAGTAAAATTTAACTGTCGTAAAAATATATTTCTTTAAGAAATACCTTTTTAAAATCCAACATGAAATTCCAACAACCAATAAGTACAAAAACTTCACGTAACACAAAAAATAACTGTCACCCAAACTTTCGAAACTGCTACGCGTTGCTCTACAAGCGTAGCAAAGTTCATAGCGGGCACTACGACACGACGAACCGCCCTCGACGGCTGAAAATTTCACACTGATCTCGCCAAAGGAAACTGTCGTGTCAAACATGAGATAAATTATTCAGAAAATTTTCCGAACTCAACATGTGACTTTTTATATAAAAAAGATCGACATATTTTGGCTAAACAATTATGGAACCTCTTTCTTACACTCTTAATGAAGTTGACGGCTTGCCCTTGTTAAATAAAAATTAACTGTTTATACAAATATTCACTAATTATTATACATTTGTTATACTATGTAAATGTAACTGGAATATTGTATGCTTTTTAGAGCATAATTTATTTTTAGATATTGAGTACGCTACGGTTTATGTTTTTAAAATATTGTATTACAATTATAAAAAAATATTTTATTTAATAAAACACTTTAACGGTTTAAAACGCGATATATTAGTTTAACTATGTACTACTCGCGTAAATTATAGACAGTATTTAAAAATATTTTTCTTATTCTTTCTAGTGGTGGATTTTATTTTATTTTGTACGTACTTGTCAATTTTTAAATTAATTCTAATTTACAACATTGAATAATTTCCTTTTGTTAATATGAACTAAATACAAGGTGACAAAAAAATAATGTAATGAGTAAATTTTAGAAGAGATGTTGTTTTCTTTTTTATTTTGTTCTAATTTAATTGCTGTGTGCAAATCAAAACTTTACTAAATACGGGTTGTGAGATAAAACCAACTAAGCTTAGCTTAGTAAAACCCCACAAGTTTCGAGGAGAAACCCGGAATTGATTACCTCTAAAACTAGAAAACCAAAAAGTTTTGTAGAGTTATATTTATATTGGTTGAAATTTATTTCATGTAACTTTGTACTTTATTTCATTATTATGGACACTACGTAGATGTATGTCGTAATCTGTTACGGTGATCAAATGAATGCTCTAAATAGCTCCGTTTCGTGACGTTGTCGTGTTTTCGTTACTGTATATTAAACCTCCTTAGAGGATAGTCTAAAAGAGCTTATACATCTATTTTGACATATCTCTAAATTTAAGAAAAAAATATAATGTCCAAGGATATTGTCAAAGCACCGAAAATGATATAAGTGAAATTAATAAAAATTACAAATATAGTTGTTTAAATCTCAAAAAATTCTAGTAAAATGCCGAACTCGAGGCGTAGAAAATTCTCCGTGCAAAATGAAATTAGGACTCGTGAAATGGTGAAACCGCAAAACGGTACCCAATTCAAGTGAGTAGTTTCATATTTATTTCTATATTTGCACAAAAAATATGTAACAAGTAGATTATTATAAAAAATATAGGTAGCTGTTATATCTATTTCAATAAATTTTAGTCCATCGAATGCAGACCAAGAAGTACATGGCAACAAAAATAAAAATAAATCTCGACCTAATACATCCAAGCGTTCGTCGATTCTCGAAATTGTCGCCGAATGTGAAAGCACCACTTCCACAATAATTTGCAGAAAGATTTCTTCGCCAACGTTCGACAAAGACGTAACAGCCAGTTCTAGCAACATCGACCTCTTTAACATTTTAAACGCCACCGATGAAACCACAAATTTAATTTGTGATCCGAAAGATAATTTCGAAGTGAAACAAGCTAAGGACAAATTCCCAACCCGGCGGGACAAACATCCGCGACAGCACAGGATCAAAGTTAGGAGTCCAAAACGTAAGCCTCTTGTTATCGAAAAGGTTGATAATAAAAGATCAGTCGGCATAAGCTCAATAGATTGGAATGAAGAAGCAGCTGAAATGGAGATTCCTGCTGTCAAAGATGAGACTGAAGTTATTGAAAATTCAGAAGAAGAGAGACCTAGCAGCTATTCTATGGATGACATGTGTAGAATATGCCACGGGGGCGAGTCATTGTCTTCGGACCTGGGGCAGTTAATATCGGCATGTTCCTGTCGAGGCACAGTCGGCAGGGTCCACGTGAAATGTCTGGAGCGGTGGTTGACAGAGTCCGGGAAATCCAGGTGTGAGTTGTGTGGGACGAGATACGCGACGCGTCGAGTTCATAAATACGGTATCTTGAAAGCGCTTGTCATGTGGATCTTGAGTCAAAATGCTAAGCAGGTACATTTTTTTTTCATTATCCGTACAATTGCACTATAGAATATACTACTAGGATTAAAGTCTAAGTAACTTGTTACAAACGGCTTAGGTATTAAAAAGATACATATTATCTTGTGAGGACTTTTTTGTCCTTGTTCAATAATAAATATAAGTTTTAAATAATGATAGTAACAAATACGTTAGTTCACAAGCAAATAAAGTACAACTTTAGTAATGCTTTATAAATTATTTATATTAAAGAGTATTTAGTCTAAATAAACTTTGAATATTAAAAGTTCTCAAAATTTGTCTTGGAATCCATTACATTCTAACTCCCAAACCAATGATAAAGGCGTAACAATCCAATTTATATTTCAAATACCTTATCTTATATCTTTTCTATCAATAAAGATGAATGTATTACTAATTCGATGACTAATAACTAATTGCGACTTTAATAGCGACCAAAACTAGTAAAAATATTTGTCCATTTTCAAGTGACTAAAACGTATCACATTTACGTAATTGGAAAAAAGTAACGTTTCAATATTGTCCTTGGTACTTGCTAATAAATGTATTCAGAATGTGTAATAAAGCCGAAAATTCCATAATTGAATCAGTGATTTCTATAAAAATGTAAAACATGAAGCTCGTTTATTTCTATGCTTTTTTGTGTATATTTACCATTCCGTTCATCTTTTTCCCAATATCCATAGGTCGGCAGCCTATGTTGTTTAGATATTATTTATGATAGTGGAGGACAGACATGGCACGGGGTTCACTTGTAAGGTAATATACCGCAGCCTATAGCATCTAAGCAAGATGCACTTCAAATTATATTGGGATTTCGGAAATCCTTAGAAATCCACGACTGAAATCGAAACGCGTTTAAGCTTCACGGCTTTTTCATCAGATGACGGTGGTTCGTGAACCGGAAGGAATTTCTATATTCCTACCGCTCATTTAACATTCAGGTTTTCAGACAAAGTTCATGCATGTTTCGGAAAAATTATAAATTGGAAACTTAAATACTGTTTATAATTTACACGAGTATAGAATTGTATAATGTAGATAAACAAAGGAAACTTAACGGAAGGCCCGGAAATTTCTTCAATCAACAAAATTTTTCTTAACAGACAAGGAAACGTAAGTTATTAAATATTTCAAAATAAGTCTAAGTAATTATCAAATATCCAGAATGTCATAAATTCAAAAGAGGTTTACTTCTCGGGGAAAGCATACAAACGATGAGTACTACTTAAAACGTTATATGAAAATGGTATTAATCTTCGGCACGTAACATTAATATAAAGATTATGCGATGCCGTGGTCACGGGGAGACAGGTCTCCCCGTGACCACGGCTGCTGCAAAGCATCCGAAACGTCGGGCCGAAGTTAAAAATCATTTTCAAATAAGTTTAAGTAATTTATCGCGTTTTAAACCGTTAAAGTGTTTTATTTAAATTGGAAACTTGTTGGACCTGGTGAGGATCAAACCCACGACCTATTGATGAAGTGATCCCTATGCTGTGCTGCCCCACTCTCGTCCTCCTCCTTCATTTTTTTATAATAAACCAGTAAACTTCTGTAAATAATAGCAACTGGTCGATTATTTACTTCTGACTTCTTTCTAGCCTGCCGTTAATAAGTTCAGATTTAAAAAAGCATTCATTTAAATTAAAAACGAACAATGATGTTGCGTTGCGACCCATTTACCAACTTGAACATGGTTTTAGAGTATGTTATTATGTATGTTACTGAAACTTTGCTTTACGTACATTTAATAAGAAGCTACATCTACAGAGCTGTGAACAAAATAATATTAAAGCAAACTATATAACAAACGTTTTTATTTGATATAACGTTAACAAGGGGAAACATTTAAAAGCGTGATTATCGTCTTCAATTTATTTCTCAGTCGTAATAAAGATACCAGGTAGAAATTATATTGCTACATTAATTAATAAAGACAATGTTACGGAACTTTTTGAGTGTGAGTCGATTCGCACTTGTGTTTCAGATCTTTTGTTTACAATTCTCGAGAATTAATGAATCATTACTTTAATGGAATGTTTTAAACGCAAAGATAAAAAAAGCTTTAGTGCTCTTGATTTTTACTGATTGCTACATTAAAATAAGGGCAAGGGAAGTTAAATGTTTGCTCATTAATTGGTACAGTCAAACAATTTTCTTTACTGTTACTAAACGGGGATTTTCTTACAATTTTACGTTTAGACAATTACTTGGTAAGTCTCTTACAAAAGTAAATAATTACTCTGCTTTAATTCAAACAATGGCTATTTATATTACGTTTACGATGGTCAGAAATATATATCGTGATTATTGAATTTGTAGCCTTTTTGGCACCATCAAGCATGTTTTTTATTTTATGCAAATACTTTTATAGTTATTCCCAGTAGTGCTACTCGTATTTTTATTAAAGGGGCTTGGTAAATAATTTAAAATACTTTTTAATCAACTGGTAAAAAAGTGAAAGCCTTGTGGGGCATGGGGCGAACACATGTGTCCGTTTCACTGATCTGTTCTTTTAACGGGCAAGTAGTTAATCAGACTTCTGTGCCCTGCCCGACCGAAACAATTTTATGTTTCCCTTGAATTCGAACCCAGGACCTCTTGCGGTTATTAATCAACTGGAGTCTGTACAAAAAGTATAAACAAAATATTTTAACTTAATAATATTACATATTTTAGTTAGTCTAGTCTATTTAAACAACAGGCTTGCACGGTTTAAAATGCGATATATAGTTAAACTTGTTTGAGAATTATTTTTAACTACGGCCCGACGTTTCTCCCCGTGACCGCGGCTGCTGCAGGACATCGCAAATTTTGTTTAAATGTTTACTACTCGCATAAACTATAGACAGTATTTAGTCTAGTCTACCTTTAGTTTATTCGTAAAAGCCATAAAGGAGGGAAAAGCATTGCTCATCGTAAATGGTTTTAGAAATAATATTGTTTTAATTACATGTTGGTAATCAAATAATAAAAGGATGTTTTTGAAATATCAAAAAATGTTCCTTTGTGATTCAGAAACATTTACAGGACACATTTTGTTCAAAATAAAACGAATATGAAGGTACATTTGATATTAATTAATATTTTCCTGTTCATATTAACTAATTTTACATGAAAAGTAAGCCTGAACTTGACAAAATTGTTATCGCTTGCTTATCTGAACCTGTTTAAACTGCGCATAATAATTTTAACCAATTTCTTAAATACTTTAGATTTTCTAAGCCCTCTGTGTTTTTAAAGGAAACTACTTACTACTTACCACAGAAAATACTTCTAAAATGTGTGTCAGCTGTTATAGGCTTAAATAGAACACTTTCAACTATTGAAAACGCAAAATATATTCGTTAATTTGTGTCTAACTTAGACGCAACTTGGTTACATCGTGGCCATTGACCGTAACGAAATTACAGACTACTAAGGCTTTTTTCGTTATACAAATTCAATTGACATACTCAGGATTCAAATTTAGAACTTCACGTTTGATCAGAAATAGATTTAGAAATCATTTTCAAATAAGTTGAACAAATATATCGCGTTTTAAATCGTTTAAGTGTTTTATTTAAACATCCGTTATTGTCAAAGAATGAAAGAAAGCACTGGACAAATTAACTGATCAGGTAGAAGTGGCAATTGCCTGCCCGGACACCAAGGAAATAGTGGCAATGAGAGAGCGGACGAACTCGCTCGTGAAGGAGCCGATGAAAGCATGGTAGGGCCAGAACCGAGACTTCCGATAGGCCATAAAGTAACCAAAATAATCGAGCGCAGTATCATAGAAGAAACAAACCAAAGATGGAAATCTTCGACTGGCATGAGACAGTCGAAAATGTTCATACATAGCCTAGATAAAAAGAAAACCAAAAACCTGATGAGACTCAACGAGAATGAACATCAGGCTCATTACAGAAATAATAACAGGACATTGCCGTCTAAATAGACATCTTACTATGATAGGAATAGGTAGCGACTCCCTTCGTCCATAGTGCAGAGAAAGTGAGGAAACAAGCATCCATCTACTCACTGAATGCTCTGCGTACTCGAGATTAAAACAAATGCATATGGGTTCGGACGAAGTAATAGAAGATGACATTAAATAATTAAAGATAGAACAATTAGCAATATTTTGCAAGCAAACTGGAAGGTTTGATGTGAAATCTCTTACAAAATACGACGCAAATTGCCTCCTAACATGATTTTTAATTGCCGTGCGCCTGAGGTGCTTCAGTTTGTTGAAATTTGTAATGAAAACGTAACGCGAGCGCTCGTTTGAAAGAGCACGCTTTCAGGCCGAACATTTTAGTATAATTATTATGTCACATCTGTCCATAATATTGTAAAAATGGTAAAATATTCAAACATACGCCTAACGTGGAAAATTTTAGGGTATAGGAAAGATTTTTAAAATTAATTTATAGCTTTTCTGAAACATGTTGGACTTTGTCTGGAAATCTAGATAGTAAAGACGTGACGAGTCATGTTTCGGTTTCAATCTTCCGAATATCCAAAGCCAAAATAGGTCGACAGCGTATCTTGTTTCGAAGGCTGAGGAACTTACCTACCATCAAGTGAAGTCCTCGTCTGTCCTCCCCATCATTAAAAATAATACTTTCCAGTAAAGAAAATAGATAATGAACTAATAAAGAAACATTTTTTTTGTATTAAGTCTCAATATATTTATATATCTTTCACGATCATAATATATAAAAGTATTAAGATATTTTCCTATCACTCTAGAACAAAATTTTAAAAGATGCGTTCTTGGATTTTATTATGGTCATTACCTACTACGCCGTGATATGTCACGGACCGAGGTTTTTGATAGCGTTATCTTACAGTGAAGTGAGTAGATACCCTTAAAATCGTTGGCGCCCAATTAATGAAAGTAAAGCAGTTTTCGTCCTTTTGTATATTTAAATAACTAAATTATGTAAAGTGAATAATAAAAATTCCGTACCGAATATAGAACTATTGAAATGTTATATTATTACCTATTCTTGTACTCGTATATACCGAATTTAAACAATAAATTACTTTAGTTTGAATTTCAGTACCCCGTATTGCCATGGCCTGATATTATTTTTTACTTATCCATTTTAAGTACTGTCTGTAGTGAACGCGAATACTACACATCGAATGAATACTAAATAAAACCTTTTTAACAACTTTTACTTTTAATTTATGTTACTAATTCTGCTTTTATCCCCTCGTGACCACTGCTGCGAAGCATCCGAAACATCGAGCCGTAGTTAAAATAAACTAACTTATACATTACGCATTTTAAACTGTTAATAGGGTTTTATTTAAATTGTCCATTCTATTCATAGATAATTTAGACTCAAACCTTTATACAAGCTTAGTTTATTTCTTATGTTATACTAGGATGTCAAGTTCAGATCTCACGCTAAATGCCAGGAAACAAGTTGCCTGCGCCACTCAACGGGAACAAAAAGGCTTTTTAATCTTGATATGACCTTTTCTACCTAATTCGAGAATAGCTTCAGAGCTTTTCTTTAACCACTTCGCGTTTGTGCTTAAAGGGAATACCAAAATGACTTAGTCACACTCACTTTATGACGTCACTTCACCCGTTATTTAATTAGAGAAGCTGGATCGAAGAATGTCCGATGTTTACGCGAGTTGTATTATTTAAATAAAACATTTTTAACGGTTAAATGATTTTTTATAGATATACTAATCCGTGCTTAATTAATTAGAGCCGCAGCATTAATCGCTGTGGATTTCTGTTGTTCTGAAGTCCTGCCCGTGTTGGAAATTTTTCTTTAGTAAATAATGCTATCGTGTGCAAAATATTAAGGTTTTCAAATATGTTGCTATTTTAAGCTATTATAAGTTGCATTAAAAATATAAGGGGAAATATATTAGCCATTTTTTAACATAATAAATTAAAGTCAAAGAAAAAGAACGAACTTATATTTATGCCTGGCTGACTATTTATTATGTTTCCCAACCCAACATTAAAGTGTTCTGCCATTGCGCTATAGAGGCTTTCAAGTTATGCTTTCGTAGATTAAATAACAAAAACAAAAATGTTATCTCTCATATAATGGACAATTTGTCAGTTTAAGGCAAATATTATAGCTACTAAAATATGTTAAAGTTTTGTGAGTTAACAGAGTTAAATATAAAACCTGTTTCCAGTTAATGGTGGACAGTCTAGGTATAATGCTGATGTCCCCGTTGGCTGTTCTGGCTGCGTGGCTGTCCGGTCGCACCTTAGCGGGGCTGATGACTCAGGAAGCCCACATAACTCCCTGGCCTTTGGCTTCCACTTTCGTCCTAGCGTGCATGACCCTCGTACGTACATTTTCAATATTACATCGTATGGCTAATAATCAAGTGTTCTGGATCACCGGGTCTTACATGTTTTTTAATCAAATTATAATTTTTCTGTAATATGTTGGACTTCGTCTAGAAATGTAGATATGAAATGGGTGGTAAGAATAAGGAAATTCTGTCCGGGTCACGAACCACTGTGCACAGATAAAAAAGTCGTCAAGTTTGATCGCGTTTCGGTTTGTCTGTGGAATTCCAAATATCCAAAGCCAACAAAGGTCTACAGCGCATCTTGTCAAGATGTTAAATGAGGTATTTCATCAACCCCATGCCTGTCTTTCCTCTTATATCATAAAAAAACTACTCTCGATATTGTTAATCAACAATATATAAATCTCTCCTAATGACTAGTATAATTTTTGTTTGCGTAAAGATATAATTAATGGCCATAAATATTTCGCGTAAATTGGAAGAAAGAAAGATGTGAGTATTTATTTGCCACTTTTCTTTATTTTTAATAAACTTCAATGCTTGTTTGCTAAGTAAGGTTAAAATTTAAATCATTACTTAATTAAAAAATATATCAATAATTGTATTTAATTATTGGAAGTGAGTCTGGCAACCGTTTACGCGTCGACAAGCCTACATAAAATAACAAATTAAACGTAACTAGGCAGTTCACGTTGCCTTCAACGAGTTTTTTAATGAGCTTGGTAGCTTCATAATGAATTCCTTGGCTCGTCATACGCTAGAATAGCTGTGTGTTATGATACAACAAAATATGGTAGAGTGTCCCTTTTCGCTTAAAGGATTGTAAATATTTAGTTTTAAACACTGTGTGTAGTTTACGCGAGTAGTACATATTTCAAAAAAACATTTTATTGCTTTAAAATGCGATATATATAATAGTTCGTCCATGTCTCCTCCGTAACCACGACTGCTGTAAAGCATCCGAAAGGTTGGGACGTTGTTAAAATAGTTTGTAAACAAATTTAACGAATATATATCGCGTTTTAAACCGTTAAGTTGTTTAGTTTTAAATGTTCTAGAACTAAGAGTATGTCCTATGTTCTACCCTTTTTTTGTATACCATAGCGGTTGTTTAGCTTTAAACGTGAACGACAGAAATTTTATCGTGACGGGAAACTTGATTAAAATGACGGTTCCCGAAAATAGAATGGGCAAGCTTGCTTAGTGGACATTCCTGTATTAGAAAAGTATTAGGACATAAGCTTTTGATGAAGGTGGTTTGTTTCCTTTTTTCCATTTCGGAAAAGCTTGTCGAAGGTAGATATACTAGGCTAACATAGCTGTTTTACAAACTGCGATTTTGCATTTCATTATCATATATGACGGGCTCGCGTCAAATTATGGATAATAATCAAATTCAATCAGTGGTAGGAATACCTCTTCTTTGATCACGTTTAAATCTGTTTAATAAGGGTTTATTTTTATCAAAAAGATCACAGTCAAAATTACAACAGTTAAATCCCTAATCCACATCTTCATTTAAATAAGGCTTTATTTCTTGGAATATATTTCTAGGCTCATCTTTCAGGTTTGTTACTACTGTTGGATAGTCTCCGCTGCAACCCGACACGCTCTTGGCTGGTGGATCTGGTACCGATCTCAGTACGAAGTCAGGCTCACACTCAATCAAGAGGAATAATGTTACAGGCATTGTATGAGTGTAGGATTTTCGGTGCTAATAAAACTTTGTTACAAAGAGAATCTTTCAGTCATTCCTCCGAAAAATACCTTTATATAAAATAAATAGCCATGCTCGCAACTTTCTTCCATGGAGATAGTCATTTTGGGCAGTCGTTCTTGCAAGTAAATCTTATAAGATAGACATTTAATGACGTAAACATTTTTTTAGATAATTTAAAGAAGAACCATTCTTTCATACATATTTATCGGGTATCCTATTCGTTTAAGAAGCACACGCAATGGAAACCCACAAATAATTATAATTTTACTCCTCTTCTACTTTCCCACTGTTTCTTTGCTTTTAGTGGTCGCAGCCTCATATTTTATATTCTAAGCCTTCGATAAATGGTCCAATTAACAAAAAAATATTTTTTTCAAATGGAACTAGTACTTCCTGAGATTAGCGCGATCAAACAAACTTGTTGACAAAACAAAAGTGAAAACTGTACCATCATGGAACATTTTGATCGTAGGTTCAAGTCCCGCATTGTAATAATTTTACACTTTAAAATAAATTATAAAATATTCTTTATACGGGGACAGATATAATGAATTAAATGTTAATATACCAGTAAATTTATTATACTGTCGCACCACTAGCAACAAAGTACGATTGAAGACTAACCTTATTTATGTTTTATTATGATACTACTACGCTCAAGTACAAGAAGAAATTTTAGCTAAACATTGTTTGGCGCTTTCGAAGGCTTTACTTTGTGTGAATTTTATCCACTACACTTTATTTTATGACACATTTTTATATTTATTTAACATAATTTGTAAAAGCAGTTTCTTCAAGTTCTAAGTTCACGTTTCTAAGTTCAGTTCGCCAAACTTATATATTTTTTGGCAAAACTGGAATAATAAGCCTAAGCTAACCTTTTAAAATAGCAAGTTTCATTAAAATTATAAAACAACCTCTTCAATGTACACTTTCCTATTCCATTGCGATAAGCGCGGATTCGAAACCCAGGGAAACAATAGATCGTTTCGGTCGGGCAGGGCATAGAAGTCTGATCAACTTCCACTCTAGTAAAATAACCGTTCAGTGAAATGGCTATAGAAATGTGTTCGCCCCCATACCCAGGACGATACGGAATTTCACGTTAATAAATCTAGAAATTGACCGGACTATTTAAAATTTTATTTGTTGAATATAATCTTGGTCTAGTACAAAATAGAGAAACAGCTGGCGGTATTTATAGGAATGGATATAATCGCTATATTGAAGTAATCTTTTCTGAAGATATCAATTAGCTTTTTCGCAAAGTGTAAGTAAACAGTTGGGATTTGGTGTCACTAGGATTGGAGATTGACAGAGAGTAATGGTTTTCCTGATAGTAATAAATGATTGCAATAGAAAATGTACCACGATGATATAGCTTCATATACCCGAGACTTTTGGATAGACTCGTTGGTCTAACAGTAGCAATGTATAGCTAATAATCAATCGTGGGTTAGATCTCCGTTGGGTCCAATATAATTTTTTTTTGTCCGTGACTTCTCCTCGTAGAATAGTTATTTTGGGCATCAAATACGTTCCTCCAAAAAGGTTTGCACAAACAAATCTTAAAACTTGTAGTCAGCGTCCGACGTTCTTGCAAGTTTATGTTAAAAGATAGATTGTCGCGGATATTTTTTAAGATCTTTGAAAGAGGAATGATTATTTCAAACTCATATTTCTTGGATATCTTGAACCGTGTTCCCAACGTACGCAGCAAAAACCCACAAGGATGGCAATCATTCTTCCCGTTTTTTCCACATTTCCCGCTGTTTATTTGCACCTATTAGACGAAGTACAATGTAGCCAAGCCTTCCTTGGTAAATGTAGTCCAAGCCTTCCTTGATAAATGCTCTGACACAAAACTATATTTTTTCAATTCAAATCATTCAACCAGTAGTTCAAACATACAAACAAACAAACTCTTCAGCTTTATAAAATAGTATAAATTAAATTTATATAATTTTTTAAAACATGTTAGACTTTGTCTGCAATTCTATATGTTATATGAAACTTGTTGTGAAGGCCAAGACCCATTTTGGGTGCTCCAGCGAAGATATATGAAATCATAATATCAAATTCTTTCGGATCATGAACCACCGTCATACAGATAAATTTGTAGAGTTCAATTACATTTCGGTTTCATTTATGGATTTCCAAATATCCAAAGTCAACATAGGTTGACATCTTGTGGCTATGTGTGAACATGTTATATGGTTATGATACAAAAAGTTATTTTATCTTATCGTGTTACCGTTTTGTTATGTTTTTTTTTTGTAAAAACTGCTTACGAAGAAGAAAGTTATATTAAACCTAATTTTCTGGGCTTTAAGCTGTCTACACTACTTGCTGTCTCCCAATATTTTTACCGTTATTAAAAAACTCAGTTCCCGTATCCGGCAGTTACCATTTCTGTGTCCGTGTCACTGATCTTTGACTTTTTAGGCAAATAGTTGACTTATTAAAAAGTCCAAAATCAGTGTATCAAACTTATTTGCCCTGACTGAACGAAACAATATATTGTTTCCGGAGGATTTGAACCTAGAACCTCTCGCGCTTAACACAGCAACCATTTGTCTACAGAGGCGGTAAAGATACGGGTTTTAAGCAAAACGAATATTACTGTAGTGCGAATAAAAACATTCAAAAAATTTTGTAGATTATTAACGTATGGAATGTAAGCAAACGGCCGACCAACAGTTGTCTGATCTGTGCGACGCGACTAAATAATCAGCGAATAAAGTTTTTAGTTTGCGCGTGTCCTTACTGGTGAAAAATGTAAAATGCACGCGTTTAAACTACAAGAGTGTGCGTTGCAAAAATTTACACTTGCTCAGCTTACAACGTCACGTTCGTGTATTATTATGTCATGTTCCTGCTTAAGCCTTAGTCGTATGTTTTGGTGACCTAAAACAGAGTTTAAAAATAGCTACCTACGCATTCAACTCGCTAAATAAGAATGTTTAAGTGGTCATTAATAATTATTTATTCGTATGTCATTTTATTAATTTTTGTCTAATAAGGGAATAATCGAAAAATTTATTATTTTCGATACCTATTATAATCATGTTTTGGTAATTTATTTTTTATTTAAGGGCAAAAGATGTTATTTAACGAAGTAGGAACGGAATTTTAAATACTGTTTAATTTTATCAGTCTCAATAACATTGATAAGACATCGAATAATTAACTTTTATTCTTAATCGGAGTGACGTCCTCTAACCACTGCGGCCAAGTTCTGATCACCTGGTACAACCTTCGACCGGGACTCTGGGTTGCTATCAGCTGCTTGTGGCCAACCACTTTGAAATCTGGTGTAAGATGACCCTCCTCCACCCCACACCGGAGTAGAGCTTTCACAGCGTCCAGTTGAGCGGCCGTCGGGTCGTCATCTGAAACACCCCAATGCAAAGTCTAGACTAATTTGTCAGTTTTGTTAAGCGGTCTAGACTTATTTATCTTTTTTCTACAATACGCTACAACAAAAAGTGTATAAATTATGATTTACGAAGGTAGCTAATGGGTTTGTTTAATTCTTTATACATGTATGTTATTAGCGGTTTTTAATAGATATTTTTATATCACACTTATAACGATCATGTATTCAGTCTGAATCTGAAATAGCTTGTTTTTAGGAATGTTTCTTACAGAAAATATTGGTAGTAAGTGGGTGATTTAATACCCAAACAAAAAAAGATGAGTGATCAAGTTCCTCGTGTAATTTAACTGACTATCTAAATATTTTTTATGGGCATTTGTATCTTGTAAAAATATTTGATACATTTTATATTAATTTAAATGAATATAAGAATATTGTATATGCTCGCTGGTGGGCAATAACGAAATTCCATATCCACCGTTCACAAATAAAAAATTCGAGAAGTTTAATCACGTTTTGCTTTCAGTATGGATTTCCTAATATCCGAATATCTAATAGATAGATAACACATCTTATTTACGTGTTTTATGGAAGTGAACCCTAAGCTTGAAAAAGTGGCAATGCATATATGTTAAAAGTAAAAAAAAAAATTAAAATAAAATGCAGTCTATAGTTTACGCGAGTAGTACATTTAAATAAAACACTTTAACTGTTTACAACGCGATATATTAGTTAAACTTATTTGAAAATGATTTTTAACTTCGGTCCGACGTTTCGGATGCTTTGCAGCGGCCGTGATCACAGGGAGGGGTCTCCCCGTGACCAAAAAACGACGAAGTTAAAGCTCATTTTCAAGTGAGTTTAACTAATATATCGCGTTTTAAGCCGTTAAAGTGTTTTATTTAAATCATTAAAATGGTTGAAGATGAAATTATTTTATCTTCATTTTTATAAGTCTGTTGATAAAATTATAAATATACAAATCTGCAAATCCAAAACAAAATAGCTCCGAAACTAATCTCCTAAGTAATATTATTCCCTGGTATCAGCAAGCCAAGTTTACGATGACAACGGCCGTGAACACTCACTATTATAGTTGCCTATAAAGGAAATTCCGATGGATTTACTGTTGTAACCGTATGTGTGGGCGCCGACGTGGAGCCAACCTGCTCCTTCGTATATCTTGCCATTGCCTCCTATGAGGAACCTGTAAGGTAAAGTTTGTATAGGGCATCATATTAGTTATATTATAATATATTGTAATTCTGAATACGTATAAATACTTTATGATAGCTGAATTAAATTCTAGTATTGTCTGTAGTTTACGCGAGTATACATTTAAATAAAACGGATTAAAACGTGAAACACATATGTTTAATAAAATACTGTTTAATGTTTAAACACGCAAAATGTATTTTAACTACAGCCCGACGTTTCCCTGTGTTGTGTGATCATTGCTACTGAAAAGTCGACCATAGTAAATACGCGTTGTAAACAAGTTGTGTAACACTTCGCATTTTAAACGTAAAAAAAGGTTTATTTAAATGTGTAATACTTATTACTTATTTTTAAATTACGCCCCTATTTCACAAGCGTATAATATTCCGCTTTTGAACAATTAAAAGTGCTTTATTTATCGGTTTGTCTTTTTTATCTTTTTTCGTGTACTGACAACTACGTATTAATTAACCCATAAAACTTCTGTTCTGTTCAGCAGTTCTTGCGTTAATGAGAAACCTACATATGTTTACTCAAATACATCTAAAATTGAATAACTTACGACATTCCAAGATCCCAATAGTTTAATTCGTCGATTTGGTATGTCTGTATGTTTCTAGCTGCCTCCGCGCAGGTTCCGTCACTAGAACAGAACGGAGTTACGGTATGCTGTATGATCACCAGGTCCAAGGGTCTCGGAAGGTAGCTCACATGGACTGGAGTGAGACCACCCCATTCCTTCTTCGACACGATGTGGGGGCATGCTGAAATGATAAGAGTAACGTTAAAAACAGGAAAACTAAGAGTTTTTATGTTGGACCTCTGATAGAAGAATATGGAGGAGATTTATTTTTTAGTATTTGATATTTACGCAATTAATATTTAATACCTTTTTGAAACCGTCAAACTTGTAATATAAGCATTAATTATTAATATGTATGTAAGACAATTGATTGTGTACTATGTTGTCCGTATCATAATTAATTTTAGTATTCAGAATCTAAAATAAAGGGATATTTTTACGTTATTACCATGAAATTGATTTTGAGACTCTCACTCATTTAAATAAAACAGTTTTCACGTGAAATGTGAAATTGATTATGTAACTTATTCTTCATGTATATTATTACGAAGTCGTATACTTTCCATGGGCAGCTCGAAGAAAATGGGTGGCAGAAATTTATAAAAAAAATGTTTTTTTTTAAATTCGATATTAAAATGAAAAAAATATATCTCTAACCAAGCACCAGCAGGGAACGCTTTGAAGGCCGAATCAAGTCATGCACGTGTCGTACTTTTTATTTCAATATAAAATCGAATTTTAATTTGTATAAATACTTAACTAAACTTAATGCTTTCATGTGTATCAATAACATGTGAAAAAAATTACAGTTATCAACTGCTTAAACTGTACAAGTAAAAATATAATGCTACGAATCAAAAATGTATATTGAGGATAAAGTAGTTGAGGCTAACGAGGTCGTCTGTTATTCTCGTATCTTTAACTGATGTCAGGTTAATCCGGATATCGCCAGTCGGCATACAGCAGGTTCTGACCGTGACTTACATTAGCGATAGAGACAATATACGCACAATTATTAGAATTCGTGTATTGGAATTTTACAGGAACTAAAATAAATAAAATGCAACCGCTTCTTATTTATATTAGTTCCCTATTCTGTCACTTGTGGCGCTGGTCTATCTTTTGAACCGTTATACAAAATTCATCTCGTAATCATAGCGTTGATTGATTGTAAATATTTCATTTACCACATTCACATCCAACCTTCAACAAGTAAAATAACATTTCATTCATACCTTAAATTTCTACTTAAGGAGATTGAGGGTACTTCAACAAATTTAAATAAAACACTTTTAACTGTTTAAAATTCAAAACATATTAACCAACTACGGCCCGTCGTAGGGCGGGTGTCCTTAATGTTTTCAACTCTGCTAAACTAGTACCACCTGTTTCGTAATAGGATTGTTTTTTGGAGATTGATGAAGGAGAATTGATGTTTGGAGAATCTTTCTGGGTTTTTACAGAAGTAATTAATGTTAGATAGCTTGATAATCATTTTTTTTCTGACTTCTTCTGAAAATATGGATGTTAAATGAGAACCGAATATCGAAATATCGTCTCGGCCAATCTCCGTCTACAGATGAATCAGTGTTATAGGCTAAGATAAAAGGCTAGTAGAACAAACTCGCATTGTAGATATATTAATTAGAGATTAATATAACAGATATATAAAAAAAAACTTACACGCATTCGCCAAGCTTAACCCCAATACAACAATAATTATACTCAAGAACATTGCAGTTTGTGTTTCCTCCTCCAATGTCAATGAAACACTGACCCTGTGATGACCATCTTTCCTATGGTCGAATAATAAACGGTCTATACAGTTCGAAAATAGGTGAAGTCCCGCATTATATTGTTACGTCGTTAGAGCTGGTATTTCCAAAAACATTTTTATTTCCTCGAAATTGAGTAGATAATATATTCTTATCTATATTAAATGTTATGATTTTTTTATTCTAAGTCAATTTACTTTTAGTATGCAAGATTGACTTAGAACTAGCGATATGGGGTCTTTCCCCAGGAGTGTGTCTGAAATTTAAGGCATTGAATATTCTAACGTTGGCAAGTCAATTAATTTATGAAAAGGTTTTGTTTGCCTTGAAAAAATTACATAATTTTTCGTGATACGGGTAAAATAAGTGTACCGACCAACAGGATTAATAAAAGTAATAATTATTTTTAAGGGAACTTAACAATGTATACGGTTTCTAATAAAATCCCTCGTGAAGTACTAACGCTATAAATTATTACGATGGATAAGTTTAAATCTAATTGTAATAATTTTACTAAAAACAGCTTGGGGTTTGGAGGAACCCGCTCTCATAATGAAGAAGATAAATGCTTTAAGTACTTAAGGAACCTGTAACAAACTTGAAGATAAAAGGAGTGGCGGCGAGTTCTGTGCCATTTCTTCCCGGTCGTTCTACGCCCTTAATTTGGGGCGTGGAAAATGCTAATTTAGGGTTTTAAGTTTTTACTGTACTAACGTACATGAAGTAGTATTTGAATTGAAGTTATTTAAGAACTGACAATCAAATCTTTTCTATATATTGTTGTATTTTTAATTATAACTTCCATGAAACTTGTGATTGGGGATAGACAGTGCATACCACATATTAATCTGCTGTGCTATGCTTTATCTCTGCGAACTTTTGCAAAATTACGATCCCGTACGTTCTTATTATAGAAGCGAAGTTCTTTATCGCATTAACCTTTGTAAAGTTATGAACTTCAGTTATCATCACATCAAACTTTGTGGTCATCATTTTCAAGGTGAGCTATTTCTGTATGGCAAATTTAATTAACTTAAAAGATGTTTAACAATTGTACGTTGTTTTAGTATTCATTATGGTGTCCGGTATTAATACATTGATTTTTTAAATTGTAAAGTATATAATTACTCGACCCGTTGTCATCATGCATAGAACGAATAATACAAAAACCTTGTTTGGGTGTATAGCTAGCTGTTTGACAAAAATTTAAAAGTTGTGCGTCAAATCGATTTATATGAGATTAGTTAAGATAACAAATTTACTTTTAGTAATAAGAAGACATTTGATGAACAATAAATCCACAAAAACCTACCAGTGACATCTATTAAGATGTTCAACTCCGTTGTATTAACGTCAAGAATCTCGAAACGGTGGAAAGAGATTTGGATTAACAAAAATGTATTTCAAAGTTTATGTTTTAAATTTCTCAAAGGCGCTCACAATTATATTTAAAAACAATAAACATTTATGCGAATTGCTAAGCATTTACATTTTATGGCAGAAAAAATTACATATTGCATGAAAACAATGGCACTGAAGTAGATATTGGTTTTAATAAATCGAATTGAAAAAATATTTTTATATTGATTAGAGCATTTATCCAGTAAGGCTATAAATCCATAGTTATGTGACTAAGAGAAGCGAAGTTACAGCGGGAAATATAAACAAAACGGGAAATTTTTCATCTCTGTGGGTTTCGGATGCGAACTCTGCGAAAACGGTTCAAGATACCCAAAAGATATGTATGAACGAATGATTCCTTTTTAGATGATCTTCAAGATAATCTCAGGAACGAATACTTATACATCTACATGTATAAGTATACGTATAAATATATAATATTTAATATTCTGTGTACTGGTCAAGGTGTAATGGTCACAGAACACATTTCTATCTCCGTTTTACTGATCGCTTTCTTTTGCCGGCTTGTATCGGTTGATCTTTTGTGCCCCGCCCAACCGAAACAATCTATTATTTCCTACAGATTCGAACTCAGGATCTTTCGTTGCTTGGGAACACTTTAAATCATTGAGCTACAGAGACAGTCTACAGGTCAATGACCCTTCCTTATTGTTGTGTTAAAATGATACTATCTTTATGTTTTATGCATAGTTGTCACAAATTATGAATATCATCTACATGTAATGAATAATTTTATGAAAATAAACAACATTTTGTTTGGTTGTTACTCTCAAGAATTAAATAACTTAAACTTTACACTAAATGAGACTATAATTAATCTATAAATATATTATGTTACATAAATTAACTTAAAAAATATATTTAAAAGATTAAATGTTTAAGATTTTTAGGCAAAACATATTTCCGAATATATTTCGTGGGCAGAGTTGAGAGCAGTTGATTGTTCTCGATACAAGGGCCGGGTTACGTCATATTCAATCTATGGCAAAAATATCTTTGTTACTTCAACGTGATATATATTATGTTAAACAAAAGTTTTGCATAAGTGTTCGTATAACTTACATATTAATGTGAATTTATGTCTAAGAATAGTTTTTATGTGGATGTAGTATGTTTTTATCATGAAAAATCGAAGTAAATTTGTATACCGCACCCTTTTTCGGCAGGCTCAAGTTACGTAATAGAAAAGGTCATCACACAAAATATTGGTTTCATATACATCTACACTATATATATGACCACTTGTAAGATATTGTCTATAGTTTACGCGAGTAGTACGCATTTAAATAAATCACTTTAACGGTTTAAAACGCCGTTTAAATGCCAAGCCGTGGTCACGGCTGCTGCAAAGCATCCAAAACGTCGGGTCGAAGTTAAAAATCATTTTCAAATAAGTTTAACTAATATATCGCGTTTTAAACCGTTAAAGTGTTTTATTTAAACACTTGGAAGATATTTCATCTCTAAAAGAAAAGTGTAGCTTAGAGCACACTTTACCAAGGCTAAAAGACTAAGACTTAACGAAGTCTTGGGCACAGATGGATGCTTGCTCGTGCTTGTTAGATTCGTCATCAGAAATAGTGTGTTTTAAATTAAATATTTGATTTCAGATTGAAAAACTGAACGACACGTACAGGAACGAAATGGACTCGGGTTCAAGTCCTGTCCTGTATTGTCAATATTTATGGCATTATGTACTTACGAAAGATATTCATCATAAAGTTTTCAGATGTTTTATATTCCTAATCTCGGACTTAGTCGTACTTTGCCAGCTAACCCGTATGAGTTACCTATTAATATTCTTTCCCTGTCCTCGGACCCAGCTTATGTCCCTAATAATCAAACATAAATAGAAGAAAAAATTGTACATATCAAATTAGATTGTTCCCTCATACGTATATTATAAAATAGTTTTACTCTTTATTTAAAGACGAGCCTGAGAGGTTGAACGAAACACGAAAGTTTCTTAACAGGTGTTAGAAGTTAAGATTTAAGGAGAAAGTTTTTTTTGCATTTTGGTAAATCTCACATTTTCGGTTTAATTTTTTCTATAACCTTAATACAAACTAGGTATCTTTAAATAAAAACTTTAAGGTTTAAAACGCGATATATTAGTTAAACTTATTTGAAAATGATTTTTAACTTCGGCCCGACGTTTCGGATGCTTTGCAGCAGCCGTTAAACCGTTAAAGTGTTTTATTTAAATGTGTACTACTCGCGTAAACTATAGACAGTATTTAGGTATCTTTAATGTTCATAATACGTTTAGATTCGTTTAAGCAAATCAACTGTGTAGTACAAATTGATAGATAAACCAAAAAAAAGTAGTTATTAGTTCCTGATACGTACGAGTACTTTTAAAAAAATTATTAAAAAACACAAATAGTTGTTTCGTAAAGATCTGTTTTGCTGCAAAAAGAAATAATTAAACAAATAAAGTTAAACTTAAAAAAGAAGAAAGACGAATGAGTTGACACTGGCCTTCTTAATAATATTCCAATTCGCTGTGCAGCGAACCTATACTAAAACGTGACTGAATTTCTGGCGCATGGTGGAACATGTGATCGGGCAGAACATTTTTGATAACACGTGCTGGATGGCATCATCTGGCTATTAATCAAGCCTACTCATTTGTTACAATAGGAGATGTTGTTAACTTAAATATGTATATATGATTAAACATAAATTAGATCAAGTATAAAGTGTAAAGGTATATTTTTAAATTTGCAAATTGTGGTGTTACGAATGGGATTCGAACCCTCGACTACTCTGCATTACTGTCCGTCTACATTAATTTTCAGTTTACATAATTATTATACTAACAATGGTATAACGAAAGACTTTTCTTTTCCCCAGGTCGCTTTAAAGACGAATTTAGATTAAAACGAAACTAGATTTAAAAAAAACACCTAAATGGTCCAAAACGCGATATATTTTAGTTAAACTTGTTTGAAAATTATTTTTAACTACGGCCCGACGTTTCGGCTGCGTTGCAGCAGCCGTGGTCACGGGGACACAGCTGGAGGGTAGTTAAAAATAATTTTGAAAGAAGTTCAAGTAAAATATATCGCCTTTTAAATCGTTATAGTGTTTTATTTAAATGTGTACTACTCGCGTAGACTACAGACAGTATTTATTTATATAGATTCCATTTATTTACAAAAAGAAAAATAATGTTTTTTAAAAAATACGTTTGCTGAACCATACAACACCATAAAAAGAAATAATAACTAAAAAGCCCATCAATCCATAACACAAACATCCCAAAAATTCTAATTCATCTAGGTATAGTCTCAATATTGTCTACTATTATCTTAGTTTTAAGTAGGAAGCGTGAACTTATCACCTTTATTCGTATATGTAGAGGTTATTAATATTAGTAACCTCTAGACATAAAAATGTATATAGATTATAAAGAGAGAGAGTTATATGTGTTGTAGGAATATCGGAAAATGTTATATCATTGTAAATTCTCTCCTGGTCTTTAACCACTTTTTACTTCAATGTAAGAAAGCACTGATATCAATAATTTGTTTTA